CACCTAGTCTTTGTTATCAGCTAGCTGTCTGGACACCTAGTCTTTGTTATCAACTAGCTGTCTGGACACCTAGTCTTTGTTATCTGCTAGCTGTCTGGACACCTAGCCTTTGTTATCAGCTAGCTGTCTGGACACCTAGTCTTTGTTATCAGCTAGCTGTCTGGACACCTAGTCTTTGTTATCTGCTAGCTGTCTGGACACCTAGCCTTTGTTATCTGCTAGCTGTCTGGACACCTAGCCTTTGTTGTCTGCTCGCTGTCTGGACACCTAGTCTTTGTTATTTGCTAGCTGTCTGGACACCTAGTCTTTGTTATTTGCTAGCTGTCTGAACACCTAGCCTTTGTTATCTGCTAGCTGTCTGGACACCTAGCCTTTGTTGTCTGCTAGCTGTCTGGACACCTAGTCTTTGTTATCAGCTAGCTGTCTGGACACCTAGCCTTTGTTATCAGCTAGCTGTCTGGACACCTAGTCTTTAATATCTGATAGCTGTCTGGACACCTAACCTTTGTTATTTGCTAGCTGTCCGGACACCTAGTCTTTGTTATCAGCTAGCTGTCTGGACACCTAGTCTTTGTTATTTGCTAGCTGTCTGGACACCTAGCCTTTGTTGTCAGCTAGCTGTCCGGACACCTAGTCCTTTTTATCTGTTGGCTGTCTGGACACCTAGCCTTTGGGTATGGTTATCAACACTTTTATTTGTATAAGGTTTGTTGAGACTTTGATTTGTACAAGGTTTGTTGACACTATAATTTGGGCAAGGTTTGTCAACAGTTTCCTTTGCATAAGGTTCCTCCACACTTCTATTTGTATAATTATACTCCAATTGGAATACACAGCAAATTGGCATGTTACTTGAAAATATTTACATATGATCAAATGAATTATGATTTTTATGGAGCAAAATTTACCAGAATCAGATTAGAAGTTGCCAGACTGCATGTCAAGGTCACCAGGTCAAAAGTCATGGTCAAATTTGAGATATTTTACTGGTGAATATTTTGTCATAAAAATCTCAGCATAAATGACTAGGATCAAATGACTACAAGTCAAAGTTATTTTACGATAGTTTTAGCTATTCAAATCGCTCTTTATCTAATCTGTCCATAAACAATTCTTGCTATCGCTATTTCTTGGGAAGCATTGGATAGATCTTTCAGATCTTTCAGATGTAGGTTCTCCTTTTTCTCTAGTTGTGCTTGTTGTATTTTGAGACTGATTAGAAAAACAAAATGGCTCACTACAATTGTTCCAGTATAATGAATCAAAGAGGATTATGTTAAGATGAAGATGTGCAGTACTGACATTGAGTAGGGGGACATAAAGATGATAAGGATTGAAAAGTAGAGCCATTCCCACCACTCAACACACAATGAACCATTCCAATCACACAACACTCCGTAAGCCATTCCCACCATACACCACACAATGAACCATTCCAATCACACAACACTCCGTTAGCCATTCCCACCATACACCACACAATAAACCATTCCAATCACACACCACACAGTGAGCCATTCCCACCACACACCACACAATGAGCCATTCCAATCACACAACACTCCGTAAGCCATTCCCACCATACACCACACAATGAACCATTCCAATCACACAACACTCCGTAAGCCATTCCCACCATACACCACACAATGAACCATTCCAATCACACACCACACAATGAGCCATTCCCACCACACACCACACAATGAACCATTCTAATCACACAACACACAATGAACCATTCCAATCACACAACACACAATGAGCCATTCCAATCACACACCACACAGTGAGCCATTCCCACCATACACCACACAATGAACCATTCCAATCACACACCACACAATGAGCCATTCCCACCACACACCACACAATGAACCATTCTAATCACACAACACACAATGAACCATTCCAATCACACAACACACAATGAGCCATTCCAATCACACACCACACAGTGAGCCATTCCCACCACACACCACACAATGAACCATTCCCACCACTCAATGAACCATTCCCACCACACAATGAACCATTCCCACCACTCAACATACAATGAACCATTCCAATCACACAACACTCCGTAAGACATTCCCACCATACACCACACAATGAACCATTCCAATCACACACCACACAGTGAGCCATTCCCACCACACACCACACAACGAACCATTCCAATCACACAACACTCTGTAAGCCATTCCCACCATACACCACACAGTGAGCCATTCCAATCACACAACACTCCGTAAGCCATTCCCACCATACACCACACAATGAACCATTCCAATCACACAACATTCCGTAAGCAATTCCCACCATACACCACACAATGAACCATTCCAATCACACAACACTCTGTAAGCCATTCCCACCATACACCACACAATGAACCATTCCAATCACACACCACACAATGAGCCATTCCCACCACACACCACACAATGAACCATTCTAATCACACAACACACAATGAACCATTCCAATCACACAACACACAGTGAGCCATTCCCACCACACACCACACAATGAGCCATTCCCACCACACACCACACAATGAACCATTCTAATCACACAACACACAATGAACCATTCCAATCACACACCACACAGTGAGCCATTCCCACCACACACCACACAAAAAACCATTCCCACCACTCAATGAACCATTCCCACCACACAATGAACCATTCCCACCACTCAACACACAATGAACCATTCCAATCACACAACACACAATGAACCATTCCCACCACACACCACACAACACTCACACAACACACAATGAACCATTCACACCACACAATCACACATCACACACACACATGAACCATTCCCACCACACAATGAACCATTCCCACCACTCAATGAACCATTCCCACCACACAATGAACCATTCCCACCACTCAACACACAATGAACCATTCCCACCACTCAACACACAATGAGTCATTCCCACCACACACCACACAATGAACCATTCCAATCACACAACACTCCATAAGCCATTCCCACCACTCAACACACAATGAACCATTCCCTCCACTCAACACACAATGAGCCATTCCCACCACACACCACACTGTGAGCCATTCCCACCACTCAACACACTAAACATCAACACACAATGAACCATTCCCTACCACTCCCACCACACACACACAATGAGCCATTCCCACCACACACCACACAATGAGCCATTCCCACCACTCAACACACAATGAGCCATTCCCACCACACACCACACTGTGAGCCATTCCCACCACTCAACACACAATGAACCATTCAAATCCCACAACACACATGTGAGCCATTTACCACACACCACACACCACACACAACACACAATGAGCCATTCCAACACACAAACACACACACAGTGAGCCATTCCCATCAACACACACACCACACTGTGAGCCATTACCACACACCACACCCATCACACACAACACACAATGAGCCATTTCAACACACCTATTCACACACCACACTGTGAGCCATTCCCACCACTCAACACACAATGAGCCATTCCCACCACTCAACACACATTGAGCTATTCCTACCACACACCACACAATGAGCCATTCCCACCACTCAACACACAATGAGCCATTCCCACCACTCAACACACATTGAGCTATTCCTACCACACACCACACAATGAGCCATTCCCACCACTCAACACACAATGAGCCATTCCCACCACTCAACACACATTGAGCTATTCCTACCACACACCACACAATGAGCCATTCCCACCACTCAACACACAATGAACCATTCTCATCCACCAACACACGATTAGCCATTCCCATAAGACAACACACAGTAAGCCATTCCCCATAGGACAACACATAATGAGGCGTTCCCATTACACAACACACAGTGAGCCATTCACCACAAGACAACACACAATAAGCCACTACCATCATACTGCATGTTCCACCAACACACATTCTCATCACACAACACACATGAGCCATTCAACACATGGCGTTCCCAACATGCAGTGAGCCATTCACCACAAGACAACACACAATAAGCCACTACCATCATACTGCATGTTGAGCCATTCTCATCACACAACACAAAATGAGCCATTCCCATGGGACAACACACAGTAAGCCATTCCCCATAAGACAACACACAATGAGCCATTCCCATCACGCAACACTTTTAATGCTGTTAGTTATATAAGTTGCTATGAATTGTCTAAGAATACATCAAATATAGTTTGTGTTTGCACATATAAGCAGTTCTATTTATTATTGTTAACTTCCAGTAAGACTCGGGTTTAGAATGAAACATATTGTCGGGCCATTCCTGTCATACTAGTCGAATAACTGAATATTGAATAGTGTAACTGTCATTAGTTATAAGACTAAGGAGCAGTGTGAGATGTTGAATAGTGTAACTGTCATTAGTTATAAGACTAAGGAGCAGTGTAAGATGTTGAATAGTGTAACTGTCATTAGTTATAACATGAAGGAGTAGTGTGAGATGTTGAATAGTGTAACTGTCATTAGTTATAAGACTTAGGAGCAGTGTAAGATGTTGAATAGTGTAACTGTCATTAGTTATAAGACTTAGGAGTAGTGTAAGATGTTAGATAGTGTAACTGTCATTAGTTATAACATGAAGGAGTAGTGTGAGATGTTGAATAGTGTAACTGTCATTAGTTATTACACTAATTAATTCCTCTGTTGAAAGGCTCCTTGTTCACAAAGCTCTCACAATTAATGGTTATTTTTTATGTATCTTATGTCAGAACAGCTCTTATTTCTTTGTTGTTTTGATTAATTCACTTCACCTTTTCAGAATGATGCATTGGTTGTAGCATGCTGTAAAATGATATCAGTTATAGAAAATGTTAAATCTTCTCCGTGTATGTGCTAATTGGTTGAGGCTTTGTTTTACTGAATCAGATATGTTAGATTTGTTTCTGGTCAGTAAAATGTGATGTTTTGTTTACAGATGTTTTTTTTTCTACTTGACAGTGTATTGATATTTCCATGATGCTCGCTGAAGCGATTCGAAGGACTCACAACGGTGAGAGTGTCTCCTACCTCTTTACTCATGTTCCACTCTGATGACAAGTCTTTAAAGCTTTCTGAGTAGATCTTTATGGACAATAACTAAACTGAAAATGAACTGATGAAGCTATCATTGATGTCAAGACGGACGCAGATGAAGCATTGCCAGTAAAAATTGACACAAGATCCCTGAAAAGACAATATTCTATAGATATTATATGTAACAGTATTGTGTTTTGTTTAACTTTATTGAAGCAGCAGATGTTGATAGGTTGTAAGTCTCAGCTTTAAACCTTTATGTAGAGTCTGTAGTGTTAATGCTGTATATTATGACTGTGTATATAACAATGATAGTGTTAGTGGTGGTCAGGAGATCATTATCTACACAATCTTTTTTCTTATGATAATCTTTAGTCATTATTGTCAGAGATAATTCAGAGAAACACTGATTTTATGTTAAGTGCCACATTAATTAAGTATTTTCATTTACAAAAGTATTCTCATTTTTAAGTCCTTGTAGATACAAAGAGAATATACTTTTATTAAGGTTTTAGATTAAAACCTGTCTGTAGTGACCACTATAGAGTGGTAGTAGAAAATGAACCTATAGAAAGAGTAGTTATATAAAGATGGACATGAGGGCAAGTTTGAAAGTAGATATTGGTCCCAATAGACAAGGAATAATTGTATAAATGAGGCATTGAAATGACGAGTAAATCTCTTCTCCCATAATAACTTACCTGGATGCAATTTTACTCAGCAAAACATTGTGTTTAAATGTCCTGTGTAACAGGTTGTGTGTACTGTCAGTATAAAACTGACACTAAAGCTGTATGCAAGTTTTTCTGCCATTATTAGTCCCTTTTGTTCAAGTTAGTTGGAATTTTAAATAAAGATGAAAATCCCAACCACGTATAGCTCTCTATAATAGTAATAAGGAAGTGGTGAAAACTGTCTACAATGGGATAAGAAAACTATTCATTTTACTATTTTGGCTAACCAAAGATATTGTATATACAACTTTACCTGAGTATCACCCAGCTGAATCCCAAAGATCTGTCAAAGATATGGCTCTTGTTAAGTTCCTCCTAGAATGTTGTCACGTCATGACCGCCATTTCTTTCTGTTTTAATCATTGTAAATTTCAGTTTTTCTGTTCCGTCATTAATGTGCTACATGTAGTTTTTCTTGTCCTTATAAGGGAGATAACTATCACTCTCCTACGTGATAGTGTATAAGTTAGAAATACATCAAAGGTGTTTGAAAGAGTGTGAAAGTGATACCATGTAAGAGATAACTTATCACTCCCTTGTGTGATAGTATACAACTGATTAACATGTGTGAAATATGTATATGTATAATTATAATGTGTAATCAATTTTGTTTTTTCTTGAATTAAATAAAAGAATTAATTAACAAAAAAGATGAGAGTATGTCGATGCAAACTGAATCTTTCTAATGGATCTACATATCTGACTTAAGATATATTTCTGTGTATCGGGGATGTATTTTCTATGGATCATTGGAAACTTGTGTTTTGTGTAATAGGGATTAATTTCTGAGGATCTGATGATGTGTATATTTCGTGTAAAGGGGGATGTATTTTCTGTGGATATGTGGAAACTTTTGTTATGTGTTTAGCGGACATATCATTTGGGCAACAAATTAATTAAAATTTTATAAAAAGTTATATGAAATTTATAAGTTACAAATCACAACAACTTGAATGATGGAAGATCATTTATCTCTGATATACTAGCTAATGAAAATACAACTGTGTGTCTCCAATGTGCGACACCACTAACTTGGAATGGGGCTTTGGTAGCAGTACACAGTTTCTCGGTGTGGCTATGGGTGATATTTTTGTTCATTAGATTACCCCATTATAAAGGTTTTACTAAAAATTTAAAAATAAATCCTTGCTAATATTGGTCCAGTCATGTAGAAGTGGACAATGTGGGAATTCATTTTTTTCAGAGTAATGTTTTAGCTTTGTGTTGGGCAGTCTCGAATCTTTGTCTACGCACCAAAAATCAGCTTTACAGGAAGTGAAATTTTCATAGTGTTTGCATGTGGTCATGTTATGAAGGATTTCGAGTTAGATTTTGCTGAAATGTAAGTAGTTTGTTACTATGACAGTGTTGTTGATTTTGAGACAGGTGTTTAGAAATTAATTTCTTCTATAAAGTTGAATTGTTAGGTTGGAATAAGCAATATTTTTGCATTTTTAGTATTTTTCAGTAAGTAACACTGGCAATCACATGTCAGAAATTTACACAAATTTTATCTCTCTGCTATTAATTGTTATGTAGTTTATAAATATATATACATGTAATGATGTATTTTTCATAACAAGCTGCTATACCTGTATATCTCAAACATTACCAATAATTTCAGGAAAAATGCAAATTTACTGTTTCCTGCTACCTTTGGTGGACAGTGATACAGACTTCTGATCTCACCAAACTGATGAAATTTTTGTGGTTTGAAGATATAACTTGAGATGTTTTCGTGATCCAAATTCTCATACATTTATTATGTAGATCAGTGTAAACAATTCCTCTTTATTTTTGCATTTGCCAGTTAAGTAGCAGTGATAAATTCAAATTGTGTTTTTTTTTTTTGCTGAACATCAGTTATCTGTTTAGAAGTACAGCCATACAGTTGTCTCTAATACTGATACATAACAATTTCATAGACACTATGTCCATGACAATTTTTACTAAAATGTGAAGCCTGTCATGATAAATCCTATATTAAGTTGGATTAGACCATGTGTCATTATTTATGGATGTCAACACAGTCGGTAGTAAGTCACAGATTACTGTCTTATTTTGTTACATACACACGTATACCGGTAACTAACTTTGGAATGTTTTGTTTTAATTTCCCTCTGTAACTCTGATAATTCAAACATTGCATTCCCGTCCAATTTACAATCCAAAAAACCTTTCAGTTCAATTTTGATTAATCAGTACTAAAAAAAATCAGTGTTTCAAATTTTGTTGTTTGAAAAAAAAAAACATTAAAAAATCTATCAACTGTGTGTTTACTGTTTTATTTTGTAAAAATTATCTCGAAAGAAATTGAAGTGACTGTTAATCCATGTATTTTTGTGGGGCTCAAGTTTCATGGTTTCAAATAAAAACTTTCTTGTGGACATATTGGTGAATGGAACACTGAAAATTCATGTCAAATAGCAGTATGTGGATTAAGAATATTATAAAAATGATTGAAAATGGAAACCCTGTGAAAAGAATGATTTGACAGTAGCTAATGCCAGAATGTACACATCCATCAGTGTAAAGAAAATGCTAGTCCTAGAGTAGTGAAATCTGCTCCTTTCTATACTATACAGGAATCAGACATGTGATCAAGTTTATATATGCATCAACAGGTATTTGTGCAAACAATTTCATTATACCACGGATTTAGAATATTTTAAGGCAGTGATTCGGTGGCACAGTCACTTAATTCCTCCTTCGATGATTGTATAAAAGACACATAAGTGAATAACACCTTTCAATTTATAATTGGATGCAGTAGTGTCAAGTAATGAATTAACTGTATCGTACAGCTGTTTTGTCCTTCTAGAAATCGTCAGTGATGATACAGGCCTAAATGTTGGAATAGTTATGGCCAATGTTAAATGTGTTCAAATGTAGGTCAAAGGTCACGGTCAAAGTGTCATGGTGAACATTTTGGTTACCACCGAAAAAATCTTGTCAGTTGGAACATGCCACAAAATATGAAAGTCCTAAATCATTAGGGACACTAGTTATGGACAAGGTTGAAATGTCAATATTTGGATGATTTGTTTTGATTTATCTGAAAAACTAGATTTAAGAAAATACTAAAATAATCTTAATGATATTTGGCAGGAATGTAATTTGAATTATTCTAGCTTACAACTTAGATACCTTTAATTAGAGAACCACATGACCTGTATCAAACTCCTTTTTTGTTATTTCAGCAATACGGATAATTATTACCTGTGCTATTTATTTGCTAAATACCAATATTTGTCTTGGTATGACATTCACATCTTAGCTATTAACTCAGCACAGCCAAATTCGAAATTTAGCTTTTTACGGATTTGTTTACATATGAAAATCTCAATAAAGACTTGTGTAAGTCTAGGATGTTTTGTGATCGAGATCGTAACTGTGCTTTGAGTGGTCGAAGTGGAGCCTGTTGCGTACAAGCTTTCAACTTACAGCGATCATTCGCAAGGAAAGACCGTGTTGCATCCAGCATGTTTCAGGCCATCGAAAAACGTGACCCCGAGGAAGAAAGCAAAAAGGCCATGCAAGTCAACATCGGAAATTTAGCAACGTTTGTTATCGCATGCAGCGTCATTAGGGCACGTAAGTCCAGTCCAATTTACTCAACAAGTTTTATGGGTTTTTGTAATGATAATTTACTCTCGGGCACATAGCTTGGTGAATAGAAAAGCACTCTTCTCAAAAGATTCGAACATAGCTCGCTGATAAAAAAGTGTTCTAAAATATCCCTTTAAAGTGCTCTACTGCCCTGGGAATTGGCACGAATTCCCAATTTTCCGTAGCCTGTATTGTTTGGCCATGACATGGCCTTGTTCGCAAATGTTTGTTGGTAGGGTTTCATCACGCTACAGGGTCCGAGACGGATCCAGAATCTCCTTGTGTAACGGAGGTTATTTTTATTTTATTGCTTCCGCAAGGATGCGAACATCGAACACCTGGCTTACTAGTCTGACGCTAAACCAATCGAGTTGAGGAGAATTTTTCAAGTTCTCTCTAGCCGAACGTTAGTTGTGGTTTGTCCTTCAAATGGCACTTATGACAAGCATTTAACATTTAATCATATTTCCTCTTTTCAATCCATGTTGCAGGGTAAAAAGAATACATGGTCAGTGTCTTAAACTATAAGCTGTAGTTTGGACAATGGATTATCTATAATTAATAAATGGCTGTGTTTGGGGAAGGAGGATCAGAATGCACATCATCATCTGTCTGGGAGTATATTCTAACCCCAATCATATTCATTATGTAATTCTCGAGGCAAGCCCCTGTGTTTTGTGATGGCTCTATTTGGCATTCTGTATCATAAGAGTTCATATTTAACTTCAGCTGAATGAACTGACTAACTCCAACAAATGCACAATAGTGTTATAAATTGACTGACCAGCAGCCCCTTTTGAAGTACCTTTTGGCCATGTGATTAAATCATCTAAACAAGTTGCTGTGACAGCACTTCTGGGTGAATTAAAAAAAAAAAAAAATAAAACAAGGGCCATGGCTCCAAGTGGTCATCTGACAATCAATGGACAGGCAGACCACAGAAAGAGTTATGATGGATTTTAGACCAAACCAAAAAAATAAGAATTGGTCAGGACAATCTCAGATCACTTTTAAATCAAAGTATTTTCTTACTTCCTCTTTTAGGCCCCAATCTCCCCTCCCCAAATGACGTTTGCCTAAAATCCTTCCAGGAATTAATAGTTCAACTTCTTTAGGGACCCCAGCCCTACGTCATTAAGTCCTTAGTGGTCATATCAACTGTCTTTAAGAATCAATTGCTCACCATAATGTTTCAGACAAAAATTAAAGAAGAGTAGCATTTGGAAGCAAAATATTGCCTGCCTCCCCCATTTGGAGCCCCACACCTAAGTGCCTTTGGGCCATATCAACTTTTTTTTGAACTGAAGAAATTATTGATCCCAATGATATTTCAGTCATTATTGGTTTAAATTTTGAAAATCAAGAAGTAGAATTTTTAAGCAAACGATTGCCCACCTTCCCTCTTTGACCACTGCCAACTGAGGTCCCTAGAGTTCAAATAAATTTTCTGAATGTAAGAATGAATGCCCACCCCTAATGATAATTTAGACAAAATTTGAATGATATCCATTATAGTATTAAGGAAGAGTAGCAAAATATTGTCAAACTTCCCTTTTTAGGGGTCCTGCCCAAAGTTTTTATGAATCAAATCAGCTTTCTGAATATCATAATTAATTTGTCACTCTTGCATTATGCAGGAGTAGTGTTTAAAAGGAAAAGTTTATGGGTAGCATATGACGATAGACGAAGCATGATAGCAATGGTCATGTTGACCCATCGAGTCAGGTCACTTGAAATGATATGCTTTGCTTATTTAGATATTTTCAAAATTAGGTTGCAATATTACTTAAACCATGGAGTCAGTCAGTGAGCAATACATGACGATATCCTAATTAGTTTTGTTTGATTTTCAGTTCCCTGGATACTTCAACAGGTTGATCTTGCCTAGAATGTGTTGAAAATTGCAGTCCCATTGTTTGAGATGGTAATTAAATGTGTCTGGGATGCAGCCAAACTGACCACATGAACAGAGACTAGGCCAGACCGACAACTTGTGCACCACCACCAAGCTGAAAGATGTACCCAGAAACGGTCAAGACTGATCTTTTTAGATCTTTCAACACCATTTCCACTAAGAATAAGAACTCGCAGCTTGCAACATAAATCATATAATCAAATTGAGTGTTGATTTTCAAATAAAATTTTTTAGCATGTTATGAAAAAAGTGTTGATCCTCAATGGGTTCTTGATCAGAAAAGTTACGGAGCAGACACAACTGTCTGTAGTTCACTATATAGGGTACAATAATAGTAAAATATGACTTTGGTATGTGATTCATTCAATAGTGTTTGACTATCGTCAAAGTGTCTTTTCTTTACTCTGACTGATAACAAAGTTAAGAAGCAGACATTAATGTGTTTTGGACAGAAGCAAACATAAATATAGGGGTTCTGTGAACAAAAGGCCTAGTGGCCTTGACAATGAACTAGTATATCAGAAATTGGATTTGCCACAAATTGACACAAACATCACTTTCAAACACATACAAATTACAACGCTTTGTCTCTGTATCACCATTGAGGTATTATAAAACTATGAATGATTACATCACATATACTGACGGTCCTGTCCTCTACACCATAAAGTCAGTATGACCTCCACAGGCTGGTGTAGTGTCATGTTCCACGTAACCATGACATCAGTTGGTGCTATAGAAAGAGCTGAATTCAGCCATATCCTTGATCTCCAGGTCTAATAACATCCAACTCACTGCTTTTTTCCCTAAATAGCACAAAAAGTTGTCAAAATCTAAAGTGTGGTTCCTATCAAAACAAGAGGCCTAGCAACCTCGACGGTCACCTGAGATAACTTTACAGTAGGTAGCAGGTATAAAATAGTTCAGAAACAACCTAGTAATGTGTTTATCCTGGATTTCAGTGCTATTCCAATAATTAGTGTGTGGTATCATTGTAATTAAGAAGGAAAGTGTTAGTTTTTTAATTTTGGATAAATTTTCTGTTTTTGATCATTTTTACTTAAAAATGTATGTATTTCTCATAGACTGGGCATACAATCATGTCAGTATTGTCAGTAAATAACATTTCCATAGTTACAGCTGTAAAAATTTGTATATTTTAACAATATTGGAATCCCATACAGTTTCTGATAATCACATTTGAAGGAGGGTAGGGGCAGTAAGCATAGGTGATTGTGATGTCCTACACATAATATTTAAGGGTATCTGATGTCATATCACTGTTTATTACTTCTGAGTTATTTGTAAGATGCTAACCTGAAGTTTTGGTGGGATTTCTTGCCTTCATTATGACATCACAGTGCATTGGCAAAGTCATCAATATTAATTGATGACATCATAGTACTTGTGACATCGTCAGTAACTATGACATCATAATTAAGACTATATTCATGTTATATCACTCTTCTTTTCAATGATCCAAATCCACTGAAGAACAAATTACTAGATCCTGTTTCAATTGCAACTTTACTGAAGTAACCTCAAGGCTTATTGAGATATTAATTTTTCAAATGACCTCCCTTTATTCCTAATTTGAGAGCAGAATACACCATGCAGGAAAATCTATATTATTCGATAGCTCTTCAAGACACATAGTATAGCAATATATTAATTTTGTTCTTCTTATCATTTTCTAGACACTCAGAGGGATTTTAATGAAATTCAAAAAAATAATTGTGATGTATAAGGTAGCAGTACAGTTTCTTGATGTGGCCATGGGTGATTTTTTTGTTCATTAGATTACCCCATTATAAAGGTTTTACTAAAAATTTTAAAAAATTGAAACCAAGCTAAACTTGGTCTTGGCATGTTGAAGTGGACAATGTAGGGTTTCATTTTTGACAGAATGATATTTTAGCTTTGTGTTGGAGATTACTGTTTGGACAGTCTCAAATCTGTGTCTACGCACCAAAAATCAGTTTAACAGGAGGTGGAATTTTCATAGTGTTTACACGTGGTCATGATATGAAGGATTTCTGAGTTAGAATTTGCTGAAATGTAAGTAGTTTGTTACCATGACAGTGTTGTTGAATTTAAGACAGGTGTTTAGAAATAAATGTATTCTATAAAGCTGTACATTTGTGTAGGTTGGAATTAGCATTTTTTTTTTTTTGCATTTTAAGCATTTTTCAGGAGGTAACCATGGCAATCACAAGTCAGAAATCAGAGGAAATTTTTTGATTTACACAAATTTCATCTCTATTATTTATGTGATTGTTATGTAGTTTATAAATCTATATACATGTAATGATGTATTTTCATAACCATACTGCTATACCTGTATATCTCAAACATGACAAATAGTGTCAGAAAAATGCAAATTACCTGTTTCCTGCTACCTTATCATTCAACAATACAATAGACACTACTCCCTCATCATATAATTTTACAAAACACGCTATTACCTCATTATACAAGGATACAATAGACACTATTACCTCATCATACAACGATACAATAGACACTATTACCTCAGCATACAGCAATACAATAAACACTATTATCTCATCCTATAACGATACAATAGACACTATTACCTCAGCATACGGAAATACAATAGACACTACTACCTCATCATATACCGATACCATAGACACTACTTCCTCATCATACAGCAATACAATAGACACTATTATCTCACCTACAATAGACACTACTACCTCCTTATACAGCAATACAATAGTCACTATTACCTCATCATACAACGATACAATAGACACTATTACCTCAGCATACAGCAATACAATAGACACTATTACCTCAGCATACGGAAATACAATAGACACTACTACCTCATCATATACCGATACAATAGACACTACTTCCTCATCATACAGCAATACAATAGACACTATTATCTCATCATACAACCATACAATAGACACTATTACCTCATCATACAGCATCATATAACGATACAATAGACACTATTACCTCATCATACAACGATACAATAGACACTATTACCTCATCATACAACAATACAATAGACACTATTACCTCATCATATAACGATACAATAGACACTATTACCTCATCATATAACGATACAATAGACACTATTACCTCATCATATAACGATACAATAGACACTATTACCTCATCATATAACGATACAATAGACACTATTACCTCATCATACAGCAATACAATAGACACTATTACCTCATCATACAACGATACAATAGACACTATTACCTCAGCATACAGCAATACAATAAACACTATTATCTCATCATACAACGATACAATAGACACTATTACCTCATCATACAACGATACAATAGACACTATTACCTCATCATACAGCAATACAATAGACACTATTACCTCATCATACAACGATACAATAGACACTATTACCTCATCATACAACGATACAATAGACACTACTACCTCATCATACAACGATACAATAGACACTATTACCTCATCATATAACGATACAATAGACACTATTACCTCAGCATACAGCAATACAGTAGACACTACTACCTCATCATACCGCAATACAATAGACACTATTACCTCATCCTAAAACGATACAATAGTCACTATTACAATGATACAATAGACACTATTACCTCATCATATAATGATACTATAGACACTATAACCTCATTATACAATGATACAATAGACACTATTACCTCATCATACAACAATACAATAGACACTATTACCTCATCATATAATGATACAATAGACACTATTACCTCATCATACAACTATACAATAGACACTATTACCTCATCATACAACAATACAATAGACACTACTACCTCATCATATAATGATACTATAGACACTATTACCTCATCATACAACTATACAATAGACACTATTACCTCATCATACAACAATACAATAGACACTATAACCTCATTATACAAGGATACAATAGACACTATTACCTCATCATATAATGATACAATAGACACTACTACCTCGTCATATAATGATACAATAGACACTACCTCATCATACAACAATACATCAAATACTTTAAGTATATTCCATCAACTTGAAGCATTCATGGGCATATTGCGCATGTTTTGAAAGTTGCCCAAAATTGTTGAAATGAAAAGTCTGCTAATCTGTTAAATTTTGCAGGATTTCTGCTATTTTTTTGGTGTTTTTCTTGTTTTATGGTGTTTTTAAAACCCCTTGAAGTATATTCCATCAACATGAAACATTCTTGTGCATTTGGCTTGTGTTTAGAAAGATGTGCATCATTGCTGAAATAAAAAGTCTGTTAATTTTTGCAGTTTTTTCTGCTATTTTTTCTGTTTTTCATGTTTTATTATGTTTCATGAAGTATTTTATGGCACATTGTTACAAGTGAGTACATTATTCTGTAAAACAACATAAGATTTGGACTGTCTATAATATGTCTAATTAAAATTGAGGTACTGATGTAGATATTGCTCATACAGGTTGATCCCTGCATACTGCTTCAGTAGGGTGTGGCCAAGCCCCACCACTCCCATTGTCAACAGTGACATCAAACACCTGACACTCCAGTGGAACCCAGGCAACCTGTAAATTGAGAGAGATATCAAGAATGATAAAAATCATTTGTTTCTTTTAAATCAGAAGGACAATGAGATGTAAATTAATTAACTATATCTTAAATATTATGTCATGAAATCTACAGTATTTAGATAAATGGATGTCTAAACAGAGCCATTTAATAAGTTGAAAATATCTTTATTCCAACCAAAATTTGTAAAATCCTAAAGGAATACCTCTGTTGGGTGGTTGAAATAGGATTATCTTTGTTTAAATTGTGATGCCAATTTTTATTAGACCCAAAATCTATCTTTTTTCCCCCTATTTTTTGATTTCCTATTTAAGTGTCTCAAATTCACTTGATTTCTTTCAAAATTCAAATAATCTTCTAGAAATGTTTTTGATTTCCTTTAAACCTGCATACAAGTCACTCAAGGGGCATGCATTACTCGCCTGGTTACCAAAATTTATAGGCCATTTCCATTTTCAAGGTTCAAAATATTACAAAAATAGGAGATTTAAATCAGAGCTGGGATGTTTAATAGGATAACATAAGAAATTAAACAGGCTACAAGTACGGCAGGAAGTGATCATTTTAACACTACATTGACACATACATGCCATGTAGAAGTATTTTAAAGTTAATTTATAGGGATTCAGCGTCTGATTTCACTGCCAAATGACTTCTGTCTTTATGAAATTTGACAGAAAGTATCTGTCGCAGCAGAACACTCAGAGTGAGAAATCTTGTTCTGTTATGTAAAAATCTCAAGTGTAACAATATTAGGTTGTTTTGCTAGGCTGATGAAGTTGGTTATAGAATGTGTATACTGATAGAACAGGCTAGTACCTATGAAAAGGCTAAGAAAAATGGCTGATACCATTATAATTAGGCTAGTATTAACAATTCTACAATATTAAGGCTTCACAGGGGTGACAATGAGCTGCCTACCTTTGTTCTGCACTTTTGCTGTAACCAGTGAAGTATTTCTCACGAGAATAGAGGTAAACAACTCCAGCTAGGAAAGTAGGTGCTGAAACAATAAATGATGTGAGTGAGATACAGTTAACCACTCCAACATCACAATACATAACATTGTTGTGAGTGAGATACAGTAAACAGCACCATCATCACAATACATGACATTGTTGTGAGTGAGGTACAGTAAACCGCACCACCACCACAATACACATTGTTGTGAGTGAGATACAGTAAACAGCACCATCATCACAATACATGACATTGTTGTGAGATATAGTTAACCACTCCAACATCACAATACATGACATTGATGTGAGTGAGGTACAGTTAACCACACCAACACAATACATGACATTGATGTGAGTGAGATACAGTAAACAGCACCATCATCACAATACATGACATTTATGTGAGATACAGTAAACAGCACCATCATCACAATACATGGCATTGATGTGAGTGAGATACAGTAAATCGCTCCATCATCACAATACATGACATTGATGTGAGATACAGTAAACAGCACCACCGTCACAATACATGACATTGATGTGAGTGAGATACAGTAAACAGCACCATCATCACAATACATGACATTGATGTGAGTGAGATGTAGTAAATTGCTCCATCATCACAATACATGACATTGATGTGAGATACAGTAAACAGCACCACCATCACAATACATGACATTGATGTGAGTGAGATACAGTAAACAGCACCATCATCACAATACATGACATTGATGTGAGATACAGTAAACAGCACCACCATCACAATACATGACATTGATGTGAGTGAGATACAGTAAACAGCACCATCATCACAATACATGACATTGATGTGAGTGAGATGTAGTAAATTGCTCCATCATCACAATACATGACATTTATGTGAGTGAGATACAGTAAACCGCACCATCATCACAATACATGACATTTATGTGAGTGAGATACAGTAAACAGCACCATCATCACAATACATGACATTGATGTGAGTGAGATACAGTAAATCGCTCCATCATCACAATACATGACATTGTTGTGAGTGAGATACAGTAAACCGCACCATCATCACAATACATGACATTTATGTGAGTGAGATACAGTAAACTGCACCATCATCACAATACATGACATTTATGTGAGTGAGATACAGTAAACCGCACCATCATCACAATACATGACATTTATGTGAGTGAGATACAGTTAACCGCACCATCATCACAATACATGACATTTTTGTGAGTGAGATACAGTAAACCGCACCATCATCACAATACATGACATTTATGTGAGTGAGATACAGTAAACCGCACCATCATCACAATACATGACATTGTTGTGAGTGAGATACAGTAAACCGCACCATCATCACAATACATGACATTTATGTGAGTGAGATACAGTAAACTGCACCATCATCACAATACATGACATTGTTGTGAGTGAGATACAGTAAACCGCACCATCATCACAATACATGACATTTATGTGAGTGAGATACAGTAAACCGCACCATCATCACAATACATGACATTGTTGTGAGTGAGATACAGTAAACCGCACCATCATCACATACATGATATACACATTTATGTGAGTGAGATACAGTAAACAGCACCATCATCACAATACATGACATTGATGTGAGTGAGATACAGTAAATCGCTCCATCATCACAATACATGACGTTGTGAGTGAGATACAGTAAACCGCACCATCATCACAATACATGACATTTATGTGAGTGAGATACAGTAAACCGCACCATCATCACAATACTTGACATTTATGTGAGTGAGATACAGTAAACCGCACCATCATCACAATACATGACATTTATGTGAGTGAGATACAGTTAACCGCAGCATCATCACAATACATGACATTGTTGTGAGTGAGATACAGTAAACCGCACCATCATCACAATACATGACATTTATGTGAGTGAGATACAGTAAACCGCACCATCATCACAATACATGACATTGTTGTGAGTGAGATACAGTAAACCGCACCATCATCACAATACATGACATTTATGTGAGTGAGATACAGTAAACCGCACCATCATCACAATACATGACATTGTTGTGAGTGAGATACAGTAAACCGCACCATCATCACAATACATGACATTTATGTGAGTGAGATACAGTAAACAGCACCATCATCACAATACATGACATTGATGTGAGTGAGATACAGTAAATCGCTCCATCATCACAATACATGACATTGTTGTGAGATACAGTAAACAGCACCATCATCACAATACATGACATTGATGTGAGATACAGTAAACCGCACCATCATCACAATACATGACATTGTTGTGAGTGAGGTACAGTAAACAGCACCATCATCACAATACATGACATTGATGTGAGATACAGTAAACACCACCACCATCACAATACATGACATTGTTGTGAGTGAGGTACAGTAAACCGCACCATCATCACAATACATGACATTGTTGTGAGTGAGATACAGTAAACAGCACCATCATCACAATACATGACATTAATAAGCAAATATTAATAGACATCATGCTGACAATACACAACACTGCAGTTGGAACCCTGCTTTTGTGATCTAGAACATCAACAATGATATTTACCAGGGTGGAAGAATAAACCAGAACATCAACAATGATATTTATGGAAGAACAAGCCAGATGTCCATAATGCTGACATGAATATTGGGTAGAATTCTAAACAGTTCTGTCTGAAATAGACAATATCATCAGTTATAATCATGGATTACTTATTGCTTAATAAGGCATTTCTAAAACGTTCAGGGGTAGTGTAAAGTCATGTTCAATCTCTCATCCTGTCATGATGTAGGGACATTATGTTGAAGGTACTAGGGAGATTATCCTGTCATGATGTAGGGACATAATGTTGAAGGTACTAGGGAGATTATCCTGTCATGATGTAGGGACATTATGTTGAAGGTACTAGGGAGATTATCCTGTCATGATGTAGGGACATTATGTTGAAGGTACTAGGGAGATTATCCTGTCATGATGTAGGGACATTATGTTGAAGGTACTAGGGAGATTATCCTGTCATGATGTAGGGACATTATGTTGAAGGTACTAGGGAGATTATCCTGTCATGATGTAGGGACATTATGTTGAAGGTACTAGGGAGATTATCCTGTCATGATGTAGGGACATAATGTTGAAGGTACTAGGGAGATTATCTAACATTTTTGTTTGAAACATTTGGTTAATTAGCTCTCTTTTTATTGGTCGATATCAATTCTATTTGCAATTAAGTTACATGTCATGTATACATTCAAGCCAATCAGGAAATGTTAAAATATGCTAATGAGCAGGTTTTGATATTCATACTTGCAGAAATGGTTTTAATAATATCAATATTCATTTGAAAATGTTATTAAGTTTGTGTCACAATGACCATTTGTTGATCAGGACAGTACTGGTCTTTTTAGTACAAATGATAAAAACTTTCTGGTAAACAAAAGGTGTTTACATAGACACAATTGGTGTATATGTGGAGGGGTAAACTTGGCTCTCACTTGAAGAAGGTGACATTTCATTGTCGGAAAATATAAATGACATTTGTTGAGAAGATGCTTAACATCTTCAGAACTCCTGTCTTTTTTTTAACTATGATCATTATCAGTGTTATTTGTGGTTTAATTAATCATTCTTGTTTGATTAATTATGAGTTTGAATGATATTGCTAACGAACTAATGAACTTACTGAGCTCTGTAAATCAACTCAAAGTCTGGATTTCCCGTTATAGCAGGGTAGGCTAGCTTCACCTGATACCTCTTCTTTCCTACTCTCTTTGCAAATGAGGCTTTAAGAATAAATAGGTTACAACAAATAACAACAAAGTACAGTAGAACACAATAACACAATATAACACACAATCAATACAATATAACCACAGAAGTGTGGCACAAAGTCCCGACCCATTGTCCATATCAATGTATCATACTGACTATAACACATATATATGGACAGTGGGTCTGAATCCATGCCAAGTCCTTGTGATTATAACACAGTATAATACACAATGTATATGAAGACCATCAAAATAACTATTGGTTCTGAGGTGTACAGTATTATTTTATATTGGTTTCTATTGATGGAGGTAAACATTATATATACCGGTATATATATAATGACGTTAACACTGCCAGGAACCATCGTTTTTACATCAAAATTCCCATGAAGAATATGCATTAATGGTATCAGATGATACCGAAGTAACCAAGATAGAATCTCAAGAGGCAATTTTTTTGAACAGAGGATGATCAGCAGATATCTGTGGCGTTTGTTGAGTGTACATTGGAGCTTCAGGTGTAAGTTTGTACAGCTCAGGAACCAAACTCCAACTTCCACTCAGGTCAATAACTGAGGCGTTCAAGATAACAAAGGTACAACAGGTCATAATGCTGAGGGACAATGTAGATAGCAAGGTCAGAGGAGCAAAAATAGAAACAAGGACAGGGAGGAAATAGAACACCAAGTAGGCATTAGACATAGCAGAGGCCAGACTCCAGCATGCGGACATTGTTGAAACTGTGATGTCAGGTCGTCTTGACTTGTGAGATATTCCAAAACCTGATGGGGTAATGCTAACCGGTAGGAACACGGGTATGGCACAAGCAGAGATCAGAATGATAGATGTGAAGGCTAGACAAGTTAGGGCTGTTGGCATGAGATAGTAAGGGAGCTGAACACGCTGGGAGGGTGTTAAGCAGCAGAAGGTATGCAGGGTGACATCTGGAACATGGAAGGGTACAGGCTTAGTTTCCTCTTGAAGTCAACATACCCAGGTGTGATGTTCTGCCAGGTCCTTCAAACTTGTTTTCTTGGGGAGTTAAGTGCAAGGTGGCATGTGCTCTGAGCAGTCACCTAACCAACTTGGCTAATGTCCTCGCATCATGACAGGTATCACTGACACACAGCAGATACACATGGCAGCACTACCAGGTCCTTAAGGAGACAGCAGCAAGCCTAGACTGAACCAGACAAGAGAAGGAGCCAATTTAAAAGGGACCAAAATTTATCAATTTCATGCTTTTGTTTTTTGTGCTTTGGTCTTCTGACTCTGAGAAGTTAGTAATGGTCTAGCTAACTGAGCCTTGGCAAGACAGGCTGCAGGATGAAAGATGAATGAAAATGATAGAAGTATGAGCAGTAGGTATATGAGTGTTAACAGCAGGGATGAAGAACTTGGAGTCTGCCAGTGGAAGTCAGCTGTAGGGAAATCCCTGGCCTGACATTTTAGAGAGTCTTATGTCTACTAGGGACCATAGGAGCAGACAAGAAAAAACTGGTGGCAGCTGCATGCACACAGGCAGAGGTCGCTTCAAGCTGGATATAAAGGAAGAGAGAAGAACGGTGGAGTGGTCAGCGGACACAGTGCTCGGCACATGGTGACGGGAGAAAGGTAGACGTCATTGGCCATAGCAGCAAGTTCAGAGAAGAGAGTGCAAAAACATCTTGGGCACCAAGCTGTAACAACAACATGCAGAGGCAAGAGCTGACCAGTTCCCGGATTAAGCCTGATCAACCCAACCAGCCCACCTATGGGAAGACATCATGGAAAGCGCCGAAACATTACTAATACATGGTATAAAGCCAAGGAATGTTAACTGGTGTTTTATTTTCAGATTTTAGAAAGGCATTTGACCTAGTGAACCACCCAATTTTACTCTCAAAGTTCAAATTGGTTGGATGCTCATTCGAAACAGTTTCAGATTCTAAATTTCAAAAACACTTTAAGTGATTCTGTCCCTGTATCTGTCGGAGTACCACAGGGCTCAATATTTGGACCATTGCTGTTTATTTTGTATGTAAATGACCTTCCCTTAGCTACAAACCATTGTGACATGTATATGTATGTAGATGATATTACAGAACAGACCCATACAAAATCACTGGACATTGTTAACCAAAACCTAATGATGATGCCAAGTTAATATCAAAATGGTGTAAAGTCAAAATGTGTCTAAATACAGAAAAACCCAAAGAAATGACTGTAACCACTTCACTTTACAGCAAAAAATTAGGTTACTGGGTAACTTATCTGTTGTTATTGACTATGTAAATAATAAAAAACTTCTTGGAGTGTCAGTAGATAGCTGTCTCTCTCGGGACCATCAATTTGCCAATAGCTGTAAAAAGTTATATTGTCAAATTTTTCAGATCAAAAGGTTGAGACCATTTATAAGTCAGTTATCTTGTATGACGTTTTATAATTGTTTTGTTTACCCACACCTGGATTACTGCATCACTGTCCGGGGCAACAGTGCCAAAAAGGATACTTCAGAAGAGAGCGGCAAAACCTATTTTAAACTGTGATTTCTCTACACCTTCATGTGATATGTATATAAAGATCTTCCTCATCACATGTTTATACTTGCCATCTCACAAAACAAACATTTTTAGAAACTCTTTTAGTTACCAGGAAACTCTTACATGGAATATTTTACCAAACAATGTGAGAAATTCTACTTTTCTTTTAGCTTTTAAGAAATCTGCAAAGACATCTTATATGGAATGATATTTCCCTATCCCTGTTGCTGTATTGTTCTTACCTATGATATATATTTTGTAATTTTATTTGTAAATATTCTATATCATATCTTGACCCTATGTAATAAATCCAATTATTATTATTATCATTATTATTATTATTATCTGAAGAAGGAGGACCCACCAATGATGGGTCTGGCAAGCATTATTGAATTATTCCAGTGCATTCATGGTATTCATTATTGTATACATACAATGTATAACGTGTATGAACAAATATATCTGTTTCATTCCTTCAATCAAGAGTAGAAAAAAATAATGTTTAAATCATTCCACTACTTGTCAGGAAAGAAAACGTTTGTAGATCTACCATTCTATTAATTAAAAGCAGTATGGATGGAGGACTTTTATAAACAATTGAAAAAATATTTTTTTGTTTTGTTTATAAAGTATAGTGATAAATAAAATTATATCAACAATATATATATATAAAAAAGGGGGAAAAAAAATAAAAAAAATATTTTGGTTCCTGCTAGACGTCGAACCCCTTGTGTATATTTCAGATCTTGCGTAACGCTAGTGATATTAGCACGGACTTTGGCCTAACTCGGTTAACCTTGTAATGACACAACGGCTAAGACAAGGCCCAATGCTAGTCCTGTAATAATATGCATTCGAAACTTAAGTTTATGTCATGATATTTGATGTTTACAATAGGATATTTGTTTATTATTTATGCTAAATGTGTTGTAAGTGTCCGGCCTGTAGTAGGCTACAGCCAAACGACAATGAGCGGCTACGTACCAAGTTGATAACCTCCTGCCAAGGTGACAACCCCCATTAAGGCAATACTTTCCACAGTCACTGGCGTGCTCATCTTTGTAAATTATACGCAGTTCTCCCTCTAAATTTCAATCTGTGAGTGCACCCCTCGCACTTCTGTTTCTTTCCGTTCTATCTATTGAACTAACTACGCCACATCACTGCCTGGGATACGATACGAGTGTACACAATCATCACTGCATGGGATACGATACGAGTGTACATAAGCCTCACCGTCTGGGATACGATAGAAAATAGTAAACAAAGGCGGCCATGAGAAAGACATGGCCCCATAATACAGGTTTCTTTAACAGTAATGGCTAAACAAATGTTAGGTCATGACAAGTTCAGGACTATTCTGATGATATCCTGTAAATAATAAAAATTCCTGGTCACCAAGGTCTCTGTTACAGTTGATGGTAATGATATTCTGTTAGGGATGGAATTTCTGGTCAACAAGGTCTCTGTTACAGTTGGTGGTAATAATATCCTGTTAGGGATGGGATTCCTGGTCAACAAGTCTCTGTTACATTTGATGGTAATGATATCCTGTTAGGGATGGAATTTCTGGTCAACAAGGTCTCTGTTACAGTTGGTGGTAATGATATCCTGTTAGGGATGGGATTCCTGGTCAACAAGGTCTCTGTTACAGTTGATGGTAATAATATCCTGTTAGGGATGGAATTTCTGGTCAACAAGGTCTCTGTTACAGTTGGTGGTAATGATATCCTGTTAGGGATGGAATTTCTGGTCAACAAGGTCTCTGTTACAGTTGGTGGTAATGATATCCTGTTAGGGATGGAATTTCTGGTCAACAAGGTCTCTGTTACAGTTGGTGGTAATAATATCCTGTTAGGGATGGGATTCCTGGTCAACAAGGTCTCTGTTACAGTTGGTGGTAATAATATCCTGTTAGGGATGGGATTCCTGGTCAACAAGGTCTCTGTTACAGTTGATGGTAATAATATCCTGTTAGGGATGGGATTCCTGGTCAACAAGGTCTCTGTTACAGTTGGTGGTAATGATATCCTGTTAGGGATGGAATTTCTGGTCAACAAGGTCTCTGTTAATGTTGGTGGTAATGCTTGCTCACAAGTTATTGGTATTCCTGTAGCCTATATCTAGGTTACCATTGTAGAAGCTGATTTGCCGACAACTTTACTACACATTATTTTGAGAAATGGAGATTATGGCATTGTGTTTTATGATAAAAATCTGATTTCTTTGTGTGGTTCGACTATAAATGTTTAGAAATTGGTAAGTAAGATTACTGGTTCCATTGTTATTACCACAGCTGCGTAATACATATAAATTAACATTGCTCAAAACAGGGATGAAACAGAAGACATTGAAATGTTGGATCTGATATATTTGTTTTACTATTTCAAGGGTGTCTTTTGTAAATAATTCCTTTGTCTATGATTTGTTCTCATATTTGAACTTGAATCATGGTTTTCAAAGGACTCTGCAAAAATCTTTTTTGTTATGTTCAATGCACTAATATCTTTAATTTGAGTTTGAATTACCATATTGTTAATTTGTTGGTATTTTCCTCATTTTTCGTCACTTAAAAATCATCATTCTTTTGATTTTGTTGAATTAGTTCCACACCACAAGACCTTCTATCTCAGTGTTGTCATCTCATACAATCATATGTAATTCCCCACCAGTCCGTAACACTCGGCATATGGAGCATGTGACACAACAAGGCAAACTATGAAATTCAACACCATATAGTTTATTTATAATATGTGGTAACAACAAGTTGATTGAATATCATCTAATTCTCTGTACAATTAGTGGTATTTTGTAGAACACAGTTGTATATATACAAAACGATTGTATCACAGACTCTACCACCTCTGGGTCAGTCGTTAAAACTAGTGACATAGGGAAACAAACTGATTATGCATGCCCTGTTGATTCAAAACTAAATCTGTTAGATATATCTATATAAAAGTATTTTGCTCAAACACAACGTACATCTAATGATAAAGCATCAGTTTTATATAAAAACAAAATCCTGGTGATCTACGATGAATGTAAGAAGCAAAAAAAACCACAGCACTTTTCTTAGTCATTTTAACAAATCATTAGTGACTTCAACAGAACAGTTACAACCACAATAAAAAGATGTAATGATATGTGAATATCTAGAGGGTTTCCTATCTTTGGGAAACTTTGTTTTGGAACAAGATGTTCTCTCCAAGTTGTCTGATAATGTGTGCTCTGTAGCTTTGTTGTGAGCCACTTTTCTTTTTTATTTCATTACTGAAAGGGTGATACCATCACTCAAGATAACCATACACACTTCTAAAATTACATATTAAGACTCATCAATGAATCCATACCCCCACCCCTATTTATAAAATAACAGTAAAATAAATGGCAAAAATAAAAGTAACAAAAACACACAATTATTAGTGAAATCAGAAAAATATTCACCTACATAATTCAAAATCATTAAAGTAAAGACCACTTTCTCATTATCAGTTACAAGCATGCATAAAACCAGTTTCATACACCTGTATCAGTGATGTACTTAACAATAGGTCAGAAATCTTCATTGTCTACATAGGTATACAATAGAACAGCCCTCATTTTATTTGTGGATAACAATGTAGTTTTTAGGGCTTACCCTTCTGAATAATACAACATGTAATTCATGCCTCCTGAAAAAAAGACTTCCTTTTTGCATTTGATGTTGCTGTGTAAGATTTAAAAACTGGACAGTTCCTTTTTAAATGATGCTAATCTACAGCCTGCAACAAATCAGTCCAAGTACCACTGTGCTCTTTGGATTTCTGCGTAAGTTTTCTGTAAAACCCTATTGTAGAACTTACTCCAGTTTGAGAAAGTACCTGGCATTGTACAACTTACTCAAGTCATATTCACAATCTCTTGAAATATCATATACATAAACTGAAGCTAAAAATTATGTTATTATTTAAAACAAAATACTCAAAAAGAACAAAGATGTGCTACATATGAAAAAGCAATTATTTTGGTGGAGGTCACCGAATTGAAGCTGTCCATAAAACTGGACAAAATGATATTCCCTCCGGGACAGATGTTGCATATATAGGCAGCATCCAAATGTCAAGCATTAGTTTGATTCAGACTAGGAAAGGGAACTAAAGCTGCTATTGGGAATGACAAGCATCAATTTGATTCTGACTAGGAAAGAGAACTAAAGATGCTATTGGAAATGAAAAGCATTGTTAAACATTCAGTCACATTTTTTATAATCCTTATCAAAACAGATTAATCAGAGGGCAAACATATATTGAAATAAAAATGATTACCTCCTTAATTTTTTCAAACTAATGTTAACTAAATAAAGGATGTAAATTGTGATAAAAATCACAGTGGTAAAAGTTCCAACTTTAAATGTTGTTCATTGTCAATATCATAAATTGTGGAAAACTTACAGAGTTAAATATTGTAAAATAAATTGTTACTATCATTGATTGTTGTAAACTTCTAAGTTTAAATGTCGTATAATTTGTCAGAAACAAAGTTCATGCTAATGAACTTTAAACATTAATGGTTGTCAATGTAGTTCATTGCAGAATGAGTAAAATGGATTATTGTAAATATATCTTATATCCACCATTATGACTTCAGTTGTTAGTGTGCTACAATATGCAGCTGAGTATTAAGTGAAAACAATTACAAAACGTTAAAATGTTATGTTTTTAATAGGTGCATGGGAACACAGTGATACACAAACATAAAAATAAAAACAAATAGAGTTGATTCAGTTCAAAATTCACATAACGAATAAAAGCTTACATAAAAACAAATATCGATATAACATTCAAAATTTCAATTAATGATGAAATAAAAACCTTTGTAGGAGCGCAATATATACGACTTTCATAAGGGCTTACACTGCAATTTGTATTTCCTTCACCTGCGTTTGAAAACTGTCAGAATATGTAATTTGTATGTATACCTGAATCACTATCAACCTACTGGAACAGGTACTCGGAGATTCCTAATTGTACATTATATCTATTGATCACTACAGAGCTTAGAAACACAAGTAAAAGAATCTTGCATGACTCATAAACATGTTAGTGCTATGCCAGAGATCACAAATAAATGTTTGTATCAAGACACACTTCTAAAGAATGTATGTAAGTAAACACTATTAACAGTATTTATTAAAAATTAAGTACATTTCATGTACGACTTCTACCCATTAATTGTAAGGGTACTTATATACCAGTAAGGTTAGTCGTTGTGATCAGTGTAAATCTAAATCTACATAACAATAATCAATCACCCCTTAGATATGTAGTCTGACACAATTGTTGTCTGATTGATGTAAGTAAGCATTGAAACATTCTAAAATAAAGGAAGCATTCACTATTAGCCACACATCACAAAAGAAATGATCTGTCACAAAAAGAGTAGGTGACAATCTTATACATATTCCAGTATATCAGTTACTAGGTAACTAAGAACCGTAAACACACAGACTAATACTGGTGTCTTTTGTATAAAATCTACCAGTATTGATCAGCATCAAGCAGCTAGGTTGCTAGACTAAAACATATTCATGAGTATTGTTTAGTATTTAAAACTTTGTGTTCATATGCAAATGAGAGTAAACCTGACTTAGCTGTGGATTTCATAGTCCCTCCTTCCCTATTGAAAAAGACCTCAAAACAATACAGGCGCATAGCTTTAGAAAATGGTGATTACAGCTATGAATTCAGAAAAAAAATAAAAAGTGGAAAAAAGAGTTTGAGAAGTTCACATGGTTTGGCAAATGGTTTAGTAAACAGAGGAAAAATGACACAATAACTGCATTAAAGTTAAAACATTCTGAGTATGTTGACAGCTGAGTTTTAAAAATGTAGACAGAAACTGTAGGTATGTTGACATGATTATGTTGACAGAAAAGTTTATATATTTTGTTAGACTTGTATGTCATTATAAACAATACTTATAGAGACCAGTTAACAGCCATGTTATGTAGCACCTTATCAGCTACTGTAAACTGTCTCAACATGTAACAGTATGTATATCAGTATACAACAAGATATAAGTACTACCAGTAGATTCTACCATAAACCAACATCATTGTAACAGATATATACCAATAAAACAACTTTATATACAAAACGAAAATATATAAAACATCCACAAATTAAAACCACAGGGAACATTATTAATCTCAGGATGATGAACATTGTCTAGAATCAGCATCTTGTGTGTTTTAAAATTATCATACTTTTCTGTTGACAGAGCATAACACACACAGACTTCCAGAGTGTATTTAGTATATTTTTATTGCTTATATTGTCTTCTTCCATCTACAGAACACATCGATCACAAAGTTATTCAGTGTGTATTCTGTGTATCATTAATGCCGTTGTCTTCCTCTGTGTCCCCTTGCCAAATTCTTCCCTCCTCTTGGAACACTCCTGATACCCAACTCTGGTCTGAGCTGTTCTTTTCAATATCATAGTGCACCTCAAGCCATAATGCCACTTACAGTCATTTAAGTGGATATTTACGGTGCCAGGTTGATACAGTTAATGGCTATCCATTGCCTTCAGGTATTTATGTTCTATGACGTGAGGAATCACTTTGTGCCTGAAAAAGAAATCAGCAGAAAAATTGCTCAACACCAGTAACTAAATGTTACAATGTTACACACAGTCACTATATTACACAGAAATATCAGTGACTAAATGTTACAATGTTACACACAGTCCATATATTACACAGAAATATCAGTGACTAAATGTTACAATGTTACACACAGTCACTATATTACAAAGAAATACCAATGACTAAATGTTACAATGTTACACACAGTCACTATATTACACAGAAATATCAGTGACTAAATATTACAATGTTACACAGTCACTTTATTACACAGAAATATCAGTGACTAAATGTTACAATGTTACACACAGTCCATATATTACACAGAAATACCAATGACTAAATGTTACAATGTTACACACAGTCCATATATTACACAGAAATATCAGTGACTAAATGTTACAATGTTACACACAGTCACTATATTACACAGAAATACCAATGACTAAATGTTACAATGTTACACACAGTCCATATATTACACAGAAATATCAGTGACTAAATGTTACAATGTTACACACAGTCACTATATTACACAGAAATATCAGTGACTAAATGTTACAATGTTACACACAGTCCATATATTACACAGAAATATCAGTGACTAAATGTTATAATGTTACACACAGTCACTATATTACAAAGAAATATCAGTGACTAAATGTTACAATGTTACACACAGTCACTATATTACACAGAAATATCAGTGACTAAATGTTACAATGTTACACACAGTCCATATATTACACAGAAATATCAGTGACTAAATGTTACAATGTTACACACAGTCACTATATTACACAGAAATATCAGTGACTAAATGTTACAATGTTACACACAGTCCATATATTACACAGAAATATCAGTGACTAAATGTTACAATGTTACACACAGTCACTATATTACACAGAAATATCAGTGACTAAATGTTACAATGTTACACACAGTCCATATATTACACAGAAATATCAGTGACTAAATGTTACAATGTTACACACAGTCACTATATTACACAGAAATATCAGTGACTAAATGTTACAATGTTACACACAGTCCATATATTACACAGAAATATCAGTGACTAAATGTTACAATGTTACACACAGTCCATATATTACACAGAAATATCAGTGACTAAATGTTACAATGTTACACACAGTCACTATATTACACAGAAATATCAGTGACTAAATGTTACAATGTTACACACAGTCACTATATTACACAGAAATATCAGTGACTAAATGTTACAATGTTACACACAGTCACTATATTACACAGAAATATCAGTGACTAAATGTTACAATGTTACACACAGTCATATATTACACAGAAATATCAGTGACTAAATGTTACAATGTTACACACAGTCACTATATTACACAGAAATATCAGTGACTAAATGTTACAATGTTACACACAGTCACTATATTACACAGAAATATCAGTGACTAAATGTTACAATGTTACACACAGTCCATATATTACACAGAAATATCAGTGACTAAATGTTACAATGTTACACACAGTCACATATATTACACAGAAATATCAGTGACTAAATGTTACAATGTTACACACAGTCCATATATTACACAGAAATATCAGTGACTAAATATTACAATGTTACACAGTCACTTTATTACACAGAAATATCAGTGACTAAATGTTACAATGTTACACACAGTCCATATATTACACAGAAATATCAGTGACTAAATGTTACAATGTTACACACAGTCATATATTACACAGAAATATCAGTGACTAAATGTTACAATGTTACACACAGTCACTATATTACACAGAAATATCAGTGACTAAATGTTACAATGTTACACACAGTCCATATATTACACAGAAATATCAGTGACTAAATGTTACAATGTTACACACAGTCCATATATTACACAGAAATACCAATGACTAAATGTTACAATGTTACACACAGTCACTATATTACACAGAAATATCAGTGACTAAATGTTACAATGTTACACACAGTCACTATATTACACAGAAATATCAGTGACTAAATGTTACAATGTTACACACAGTCCATATATTACACAGAAATATCAGTGACTAAATGTTACAATGTTACACACAGTCCATATATTACACAGAAATATCAGTGACTAAATGTTACAATGTTACACACAGTCCATATATTACACAGAAATATCAGTGACTAAATGTTACAATGTTACACACAGTCACATATATTACACAGAAATATCAGTGACTAAATGTTACAATGTTACACACAGTCATATATTACACAGAAATATCAGTGACTAAATGTTACAATGTTACACACAGTCCATATATTACACAGAAATATCAGTGACTAAATGTTACAATGTTACACACAGTCATATATTACACAGAAATATCAGTGACTAAATGTTACAATGTTTACACACAGTCACTATATTACACAGAAATATCAGTGACTAAATGTTACAATGTTACACACAGTCCATATATTACACAGAAATACCAATGACTAAATGTTACAATGTTACACACAGTCCATATATTACACAGAAATACCAATGACTAAATGTTACAATGTTACACACAGTCACTATATTACAAAGAAATATCAGTGACTAAATGTTACAATGTTACACACAGTCACTATATTACACAGAAATACCTGTGACTAAATGTTACAATGTCACACAGTCACTATATTACACAGAAATACCTGTGACTAAATGTTACAATGTTACACAGTCCATATATTACACAGAAATATTACAGCATTATTGACTGGACTACTGGTTCCAATAGGAATCTAAATATCAACAATACAAAGTGCTTTCAACTGAATTTCACCCTATATAAACATATAAGACTGGTAAGTGTATGCACATGTACATTGTAAAGTTGTGACTGTGTGCATTAATATGGACTTGTTGAAGTGGCAACAATCCTACTCCGTGTTACTTTTTACAGAATATGATTATTTTCATATTTCAACTTATATAGGATTACAACTTCACAGACTTTTTAACTGTAACAGGATTACAACTCTACCAAGATTTGAATCTCATCAGAATTTAAACTTAACAAGGATTTAAAGTTTTAACAAGATTTAAATTTATCACCATTTAAACTAGGAAAGAATTTAAAATGTTACCCGAACTTTACCAGGGATTTCACTTAATGAGAATGTTAGATCATTATTGTAAATATTGCCAAGGAAGAAGTCTTACCTAAGAGGAATGAGGAGAAAGATAAGCACAGGGAAAAACATCTTGAGGTAAGGATATGGTACAAAGCCAAATCCACAAAGGACAATGAGCTGTAGAAGCTGCAGCAGGGTGAACAGGTGCATCTTCCTTTGTGGCACTCGGCGGATGTAATGGTTGGGAGGATAGGCAGACTGCAACCACAAATAATCAGATTTTACATTCGAATTTAAATGAGTGTGGTATATTGTACCTGAAGGAACATCAATCCATAAAATTAGAATATATTGTTCTTAAGAGTGCATTGATTAATTAACTGTCATTTGAACCATTCAACCGATGTATCACATTATATGGCTTAGAATTAGAACATTTCAAAGCATAATTGCTTAAGGTAAGTCATTTAAAATGGTTCCCATTAGAAAAAAAATCCATACAATATCAAGACTGGTCAGTTAGTTACAAACAACATATTACATGTGACTGTAAGTCAGCTAATTACAAATTCTTTCATCTTTGATTAAATTCAATGATATATAATTACTTGTTCAGTGAATAGAAGCATGATCCTCTCGAACATCTGGTTTCCATCAAGGGAGGTCACTCCCACGTAAAGGAAGAGGCCGTAGAGAACCGGAGTGGGTATAAAAGCTAGGATGTCGAGGATCAGTAGCGACAGACCAATGAGGATGTGAGATAAAATGGCTGTCAGCCTAGTCTCACGCACCTTCACTATTCTATAAAATCAAATCATTGATATGTTACACAGGAAAAGGCATGCTATTATAGTGAAATTTAACTTAACTGAACTAATTATTAGGCCATGAAGCATGTTTTCAGTACTAAGGTATGTATTCATGTTTTAACTGATTAAACAGAAGTACAAATATGTACTGAGGTTGTGATTATGAGACATATGTTTCTGTATACTATTATTTAGAACTACAACACATTAAATAAACCTTTTATTACATCCTAAAATTCTAAGTTTGAGTGTAAAATAATCTGGTTATGTGGATTGGTTTATATAGGATAGAAATTCTACAAAAACAACAAAGTCTGAGACAGGGTGTACTTACATCTGGTAAATGTGTCCCTGGTCGACTCGTTCCTCTACATCAGCAAGGGCACGCACATGTAACGGGGAGTGTGGGAGTGCAGCGTGTACCCAGGGGAAGGCCACCAGGCTGTGTAACATATTGATAAGTCCAACAACAACTAGATCCCAATGGTAGGATGTTCCCTTCTTCATCCTGTGTGATAAAATAACATCTGAATCAGGGCCAGAAAGGTAGAGGCAATTATTGTTATCTTTAAAACTGCAGTTGTTTTGAGTGAGTATGTTGACCTTAATGTTTGACCAAATTGTTGGAAATATTCAATCTACGACCAAACTATAAATATCAAGCAACTAGATTGCCATGTCTCTTGCTACAGAAAAGTGAGACAATCTAGAAATGCTGTGTTAAAAAGGTACAAAAATACTACAAACAGAGGAGAGAGTAACATACATTCTATAAAACCTTGTAGCTACTGAGAGATATATAAAAGAAATTCTTAAAACTTATGTTAAGAAACTGATGTTTTATACAACTGACCTGGTTTCACATCATTATCATTAAATAAATTACTGTGTTAATCACGTATGAGTAGCATCTCTGTCTACTCACTTGTTCTGTGGAGCATTCACCAGTGCTGCGGAGATGTTCTGGTCCATGAAGAATAGTAAGGAGAGACAGAAGCCGAGCCCCATAGCCCCCAGCACAGCCCCCCATGACAGAGTATGGAAGGGGACAAGACTGAAGATGGAGAATCCATTCCCTGCTCCATCAAAACTCTTCCCAACTAAAACAACATCACTTCATAATTACTCTCAATTCACAAAGTCTGCAAAACTTGTTTAAGGCTAATCAGACAGAAAAGAAACATTCTTATAATTTCCTTCTTTGTCTGACTGAAACATTGAGATATTTTTTCTAGACCACACGTCTTGTCATTATGTCAGGTGTTCGACACAGTATGATAACATTTTTTTGGCATTAATATTACTTTACTGGAAATTGGGGTATTATTCTTAAGAAACTTGGGAAATTATACACAAAAAGTTGGATCACTTAACAATGAACCTGTCTCCGTTTTACAGACACAACCAGCAGGGATCTCTTTATCAATTCTTCATTAATGCTTTTCTACCCTTCATATTAAATGCATGAGTTTAAATGTTTCAATATGTGAGAATTAACATAAAGATAAATGATAGATTTTTTTCCCTAGACGTTAGTAATGAAAACCTACATTTACAAGCAGGTTGTGTGTAAATAATAGAAGGAAAAAGTAATGAAAACTTACGGTCAACATCTTTAAAGGCTAAAGCTCCAATTAAGCTCATGACGACAACGGATACTGGCAGGGCATAGTCAGCCAACAGTTCTCTCTTCCCTGCATTCAGGTAAGGCCTGTAAAGTAGTACTATCTTATAGTTACACTTGATCGTTAAAGATCATATTCAACAAACCTTATGACCTTAATGGACAGTGCTCTCTCACTCTCTCTCTTTTCAAAGGAAACCATTACTTATTTTTTCTCTTCACTGGTACATACGTATATAACCTAAAATAAATTACCAATAACGACTATTCAATCGTGTTAAAACGATGCTCATGTTGTGTCAAAGTTAATTTTCCTCTTGATAACTTTTTTCATAGTTCAGTTATCCTTTTGATAACTTTAACACCTCACAAGAAAGTCTAATACATTGATAGATAAAGTACTTGTTATTTGAGATAATTTCTTTGTAGACAACATACGTCTTAGTAAAGTTGTAGAGCATGACTCCAACCCACAGAGTACCCAGAAGCAGTAGTAGGTACAGGAGACTGACATCACGCTCACATCCCTTTGTGGCCTCCTCTACCGTTTCCGAGACATTGGCAGATATATTAGCCGTCACATTAGTGATTGCTGCCAACCCAGTACTGGACACACTCTCAGATTGGCAATTTGGAATGTTGTAATGATCCCCAAAATCTGAAATATACATATGCATTTTTCTGTGCAATTTAATTGTAGCAAACCAAATTCTGAAAATTTATCGATTAAGTGCTGAACAATCTATCATAAATTGATTCAAATTTAACCTCGACATCAAGATCATTGGAGTACATCGTACAATTGCAACCTCTATATAGATTATCACTGAGGTTTTACTGTGTATTGTACACATATATATCAAGTATGTTGTGATGAGGCAAGGGATTCAACAAATTAAGACAATGCTGACTTACTTTTTGCTGTATTTTTAAAGGCATCAACACAGAAGGCTATCGCAATGAACAGAGCAAAGATTTCCTCTGAGGACCTGCAAAACACAAATAGATGACAGGAATAAATATAAGGGGTAATAGTTTCAACTGGGCGCAGTATTTGAGATCAATTAGAGACAATTATGTTGATATTTGAGATCAATTTGAAAAATCAAGAATCATTCAAACTTCTTCAGTTCAACAGATAAATTGAATGATAAGCACAACTGGCCTATTTAGAGGCCATGAAACTTATAGTCAATAGGACGTGTGCTGTCTGTTTATCCAACTGTCTGTTCCCTGTTATGTTTTTCTTTATATTCTACTGTACCTAACAATGTGTTGTTGTTTGATCAATTCATTCTCCAAAGCATATGTCCTATTGGCCTATATTTTCTAATTACCAGACAATAGGACTTACATTGTATGCGATAGAACACATACCTGGTTGACCACTGCATGAGGACACTTAGGTCAAACGTAGCATAGAGGAAGAGAAAGAAGCTGTTCCACAGACCAACACAGGCATACATTGCACGAAAATCCAGACTGAATTCTTTACAAATAGTGTGGATAACTGTAAGAAACAAAAATAATATTTACTGAAAATCTTATAGGGCAGATACATGGAATCTTAAAGTGCAGACAAATAATATATTTTAACGCAATATGATCTTATAGGGCAGACATGTAGGATCATATAGGAGAATCTTACTAAGCAGAGAAAGAGGATCTTATAGGGTGAACAAAAATAATATTATAAGGCAGACAGAGAGGATCTTTTGGGGCAGATAAAGAGGACCTGATGTTAGTACCACTGCTATATTAAATCAGTTAGATTTGTAAGGTATACATACTCTTTGTGTAAAGAGCGAGGGGTGCTGTGGTCAGTAAGACTATAAGTGGTGTCCCTCCAAATAAAGCAAACACCAGGCCACCAAAGGTCTGTGAATACAGCACCTTCTCCACCGCTACAACATAACAGCAACCAAGAGTCACAAATAACAGGTAGTAGTGTTGTTGTTTATGTAGTTATTGAATACAACAGTGCCTTTAATTATACATATAGAAGTCTTAAATCCCAGGGGATAAAATTTAATATTTGTCACAAGTGAATTCCAACTAATTTTGAAATTGAATGAATACAATTGAAAACTTGACAATTTTCAAAGTTAAAATCAAAGTACATTGAGAAATAATTATGTTTTATCAATTGTTATTATTTCATTTTTACTATTTCAAATTATCAAAACTTTTACCAACCTCAGAGATGAGATACAATCAGATAGTATGTAAACTACTGTTAAGGAGCTCAAAATGGCACATGATATTTATATCTGAAAATCTATGAGTTAGTAAGAAGAACCAACATACTTAGCACTTTATCCGTGTTTTCTGAGTTGAGAACTCCAAAGGCGATGGATGGCATAAGACAAGCAAAATAGAGGAAAAGGGTTGTAGATAAAGTCTTCTGAATTGTCTTTGGTCCAAAGATCCCTGTAGAACAGCAGAATAGCACATTCAGAGTACATCTATTTAAATTATTATCAAAATGAAAATTTTTTGCAGATTCATTTTCTTAACTTTTTGGTTGAAGTGAAATAATGAATGTTTGGGGTGATAACTTCCTTTTATAATTAGATATCAATCTAATTGAGTTCCACAACTTACCATCCTTGAAGTCTGAAAAATAATGTGGTAGTCGTCTACGGAGATCGTCTCGAATGCCCTTAAATATACCACATTTACATCCTCCCTGAAACGCCAAAGAAAGTCAAATTAGTACGGTTTTCTTCTGAAAATATATCAACCCAAGCAAGGGTCCAAAATTGTGTGTGTATAATCATCCTCCACTATCACAAAAGAAGAACCTTAGACTGGTAAAACATTGAGAACTAGGAATTAAATGTAAATGAATATAAGCACTATGAATACTACAAGCAGTGTACATGACCAGACTGACAGAACAGAACTAAGCGGAAAAGTTGTGGTCAACGAAAATGTTGAGAGACATTTAGAGCCACTCACAAATAAAAATAATTGGTGAGTTTTATATTGAGTTACTCAGTGCTGTATAATAATAGTTATACCTTGATACAATCAGTGTCGTACAAAAGTACTTTGTTTGGTGAGTTTTCTATTGAGTTACTCAGTGCTGACTGTATCACCATGGTTATACCTTGTTACTATCAGTATCACACATGGGTTATACCAGTGCTGACTCTGTATGGCTACAGTTAAGACATACCTTGTTACTATCAGTATAACACACTGGTACTTTGTTGAGTTTTCTATTGAGTTACTCAGTGCTGACTGTATCACCATGGTTATACCTTGTTACTATCAGTATCACACACTGGTACTTTGTTGAGTTTTCTATTGAGTTACTCAGTGCTGACTCTATCACCATGGTTATACCTTGTAACTATCAGTATCACACACTGGTACTTTGTTGAGTTTTATATTGATTTACTCAGTGCTGACTCTGTATGGCTACAGTTAAGACATACCTTGTTACTATCTGTGTCGTATACAGGTACTTTGTTCAGTTTTATATTGAGTTACTCAGTGCTGACTCTGTATGATAATAGTTATACCTTGTTACTATCAGTATCACACACTGGTACTTTGTGAGTTTTCTATTGAGTTACTCAGTGTTGACTCTGTATGGCTACAGTTAAGAAATACCTTGTTACTATCTGTGTCGTAGACAGGTACTTTGTTGGTTGAACTCATTTGACGGTCAGCCAGCTCCTTGGTGTGCTGTTCCAGGATTGACTTGAACTCCTCTTCACTGGAGGCAGCAAGCAAATTCAAGCGGAAGTCAAGATCGGAGAAAATTGTGGCAAATGTTCGACCAGTCTCTACTTCATTTTTGGTTCCTTTCTGTTGTAATCAAAATAGAGCTTAATCAACCAGCTTCTAAACCAATATAAGAATATACTGAGATTGTGTCACAGTTGTAATCAAAATAGAGCTTGATCAACCAGCTTCTAAACCAATATAAGAATATACTGAGATTGTGTCACAGATGTCAGCACTTATCTTTATAGATTCTGATTGTTCACAAGTAAGGTTTTCATAAATAGAAGAGATTTCCAAATCAAAACATTTGACAACCCTCTGTTAAGAAAACTAATATCTTTTATATACTGTAACCAAATTGAATTTGGTGCGGTGAATGAAATTTTATTGCTTCATCAGTTTTTGGCAAATTAGTATCCACAATAATTGTTTAATGAACAACATAAAGAAACTGCAAGTAGTGCCATCATATCTAAGCATAGTACTTCAGGGTACTAAAATGTATGTTTACAGTAGATCATATGTTAAACATAAAATAAGACAACAACGCTAGCCTCTACTATCCAGTGATGTCCAGGTATATCCCAATATAGTACAGGTGACATATGGTCCACTTAGGTATTTAGGATTGGAATAGGACTGAAGATTTGAATGCAAACACAATGCATATACTTTTAGATCCCTCTGACTCTAGTATATATTATTTGAAGTTTGGGGAGTTTATATCTACCTCTTTTTGAGGACACTCTCATTTACAAACATCCTGTAGGGTCTGGCATACCTACCTCCTTTGTAGGTATCAGGACCACATACCTTTTTTAGGGAGTGACATACCTACCTCCTTTGTAGGTATCAGGACCACATACCTTTTTTAGGGAGTGACATACCTACCTCCTTTGTAGGTATCAGGACCACATACCTTTTTTAGGGAGTGACATACTTACCTCCTTTGTAGGTATCAGGACCACATACCTTTTTTAGGGAGTGACATACTTACCTCCTTTGTAGGTATCAGGACCACATACCTTTTTTAATGAGTGATATACTTACCTCCTTTGTAGGTATCAGGACCACATACCTTTTTTAGGGAGTGACATACTTACCTCCTTTGTAGGTATCAGAACCACATACCTTTTTTAGGGAGTGACATACTTACCTCCTTTGTAGGTATCAGGACCACATACCTTTTTTAGGGAGTGACATACTTACCTCCTTTGTAGGTATCAGGACCACATACCTTTTTTAGGGAGTGACATACTTACCTCCTTTGTAGGTATCAGGACCACATACCTTTTTTAGGGAGTGACATACTTACCTCCTTTGTAGGTGTGAGGACCACTATCACAAAGTACACCTCCTGACTACTGGTACCCAGATTAGCCGCATTACGCAGCCTTGCGATGCCAACATGTCGGGTGAGAATGGATGGCACACTAGCCCTGTAGTGTAAACAAGATTAATCATCACTGACTGTTTCAAATACTTTTTTTAATGGACCTGTTGTTTCACGAAAGTTTTCAATGTGTGCTACTGTGTTGTACATTTGTATATGTACAAGAGACAGTTCTGTGATAATCTGGTCTGTCACATTCTCCTTTCATCATCATATCAATCAGGTGAGTCATTATGGGAAGTGTAAGTAGATCAATGACTTAGTAAATGGTTGTTAAGTTGCAGATGAAATAGACAACCAAAGAATGAATGTTACTTTCTAACTCGACAATGTTCTGATAAGGTGAAATGTGACATGTTACTCTTGCCTGACTATAATATAATTAGAATTCCTGTTTCAAAATCAGCTGATATAAATAAATTACTAGTTTTGTATAAATTATTTACTTTACCTTGACTCATCTTATTTGATGTTTAAAATATCAAAGGATGACTTACATCGCACATATCCAGTTTTGGTCATAGTCAAACCCTCCTCCCTCTGATATGCTGGTACATTGTAACGTCCGACTTAGCATGTGTACTGTAAAATATCAACATATTGCAGGGATTATCTCCCTTCCATAGACATGCTTATAGAACTCTAGTATAATATTATGCTCCCTGTAATACTTAAGATGTCAGTAAGAAACATGTAATTTGTTCTGTGTTTATTCTAATAAAATAAAAAAATAACCAAGTGATATTGTGTTACATGGATCTTGTGATTCTGACCACCAATATTATATGACTGATTAAATGCATGACTATGGAAAAAAATGTTTATCTGACTGGTGGTGTCATTTATGTATAATGTAAAAGGCAAGAGAATAGTGCTTTGGAGTGTGAAGACAAATCAGAAAGGAAACTTGGAAATCTTCAGTAGTGTACCTTATAATTCGGCAGAAGGAATAATATCTTCACAAGTAAAAAAATAAATAAATAACAGAGGGTTTATAAAATGTTAAAGTCCACAGCACAATGCGGATATATAAGACAGATTAAGAAATCTATTAGTTGGAGTGAAAAAATTCTGTTCTAGATCATAAATCTCAGTCATCAGAGTGTTAAAAGTGAAATGGACGAAGAAACACTTCACTGCAGGTGACTTTGTTAACTCGAGTTATACAAAACTTCCAACTATCAGCTTCTATGTACATATTTAAAAGAGATTTTCTGCCAAAGATATACAAGGACTTAAAGAACAAATAAATTCTTTCAATAATAAAAGGATTTGTTAAAATCATATTATTATTATTAAAATTTTGAAAATGAAATACTGTACTAAACCTTGGTCTCCATATCAAAGTGAGAATACGTAAAATTTTTATCAACTTTCAGTCCTTGTTATTTTATTTCTCTTCTTTTTTTTCCCTTTTTGTCAATTTTGACGTTGTTTTCCACATTATCTGTACATTTTATAACTTATCAATATGTGAAGAAGGTAGATAACTGGGTTTGAGTTGTACAAATGTGTATACCCCATAGACTCCAGTCTGATTGTCATTCTTACCTTGTTTCTTCTCTTTCTTCACTATGTAGCAAGAACTGATTTATCATTAACATTAAAAACTTTAATTGACAGCTTTTTGTCTATTTAAACTTCAGACATCACGATCGTTATTAAAGCTCAATATGTTGTATCTATTACAACTCTGGAGATTTCTTACATTGTGACAGCTACAAACTAAGACTTTTGTCATAACAGCTCAAGCTATTCCTATAGAGATTACTAATCCTAACTGAAACTCTACAGATCTTGCATCTCAAAGGAACTATTGACATATACTTTTGAATACACCCCATCTATGGAGATTTCCCATCTAACTGAAGCTTTGGAGATTTCACATCTAACTCCAGCTACAGAGATTTCCCATCTAACTGAAGCTTTGGAGATTTCCCATTTAACTCCAGCTACAGAGATTTCCCATCTAACTGAAGCTTTGGAGATTTCCCATTAAACTCCAGCTACAGAGATTTCCCATCTAACTTAAGCTTTGGAGATTTCACATCTAACTCCAGCTACAGAGATTTCCCATCTAACTGAAGCTTTGGAGATTTCCCATTTAACTCCAGCTACAGAGATTTCCCATCTAACTGAAGCTTTGGAGATTTCCCATCTAATCAAAACTTTCCATGAAGAGTTCCCATGTAACTAAAGCTCTGACTTAACATTGTTGACTGTGCCTGGTTAAGATAATAGCTTACCGTAATCATGGGTAAACAGGGCTGACCGTGCCTGGTCAAAGCTGACCTCACCCTCTGTCCCGTCTAACATCTTATGAAGAATTTCATCAATTATTTCATCCAAACTGAGTTTGTTTAGGTCCAGTAGCAGCACAGTTTTATTGAGGAAGCGCTGGATGTCCATGGCTGCGCGAATCTCTAAGGAAAAGTCCTTCAGAGGCAACTTCTGTGGAACCAACAGCAGAACAGGGTATACATATCATATTACATTGGATCATCTATATAAACTGAAACTTAATTTTCATACCACTTACTTTAATCTGAAAAGATTTCTTTAATCACCCATCCCCACCTGATTTTGACACAAATCTGGTCTTGTCTGACAGATTACTGCAGACTAACATATTAAGGATCTGAATAAAACAGATATTTCAGTTAACGGCAGTCTTAGTAAATACATTTTGTATGTGTGTGGTATCTTACCTCATGACGTGAATACATCAGAGTCAGGCCACTCTCATCTGTAACAAGCAACATATGACTATTAGCACAAGGACAATTCTTATACTTCTCCAACCTACACAGCCAATATATAGCTGTCATGATTCTTGTGTCATAATCCCTCATATGATGAAACAAGTCTGAATAATACATGTTATATTGTAAAATCAATTCCCATACTTTTGTGACACTCAAACACAAACAATTCTGCACAGAATTTTTTTAATCTTATCATATGCTGTATGATATAAAAGATTTTATATATAACCACAAAAAAAAGATCAAATGATCTGAAACAAAAATGAAAAAAAAAAAAAAAATCCAAATCTCACATAATAAATTCCAATTCAATCTTAAGCAATTACAAGAAGCTGTAAAACTGAACTGTGTAATATGGATAACTATGTAACACAAATACCACTTAGATCAGATAACTTAGAGTTAAATTGTTTAGAACTGTACTACATTAGTACTATTTAACATTAATTAAGCAGGAAGTTAATTACTTTTTTGTATCTAAATAACTGTTTGAATTAGTAAACTGGTAACTGTTAAATTAAATAGGTAGTCATTAAAGGTGTAACAACCTGATTGTTTTTGTGACATAAGATAAAGATGGTACCAAAAACATTAACACTTTTGTAAAATTCCAAACAAACAATATCAAAAGCAGGAAAGAATAAAAACAGAAGCTGAGGTGAGAATATCCCTACCAGCATATTTAGTTCTACATTAACGATTAATCTTTTCTGTTCTCTTTTCTCTATTTCTTCTTCAACAAAATTGAGTCATCTTGAATTTTTATCAATTGAAAATATTTTCTTACAAGAGCGACTTATTGGACAATTATATGTGACATTTCAATGACTACACTGTCACCTTCAGGTCATCATCCATACATCCATTAGGTGGTATTTATATACTATATTCCATGAAATTCCACACAGTTACCCTTTGTTTAAAACATGGTCATTAATGAGCAAGAGTCTTAATTATGGACCTGTTTTCAATATAATCTTATTGCCATCTTGACACACGACTTTCTACCATAATGTACATAAAATATGTACTATAGCCAAAAGGTTATGCAATTTTATTATCATCTGGTACACTGTATGCTTCAGTATCAGTATGATTCACACTGGTCATTTGTCTGATGAAGGAGACAGTGTAGTCAACCAAATGTCACATATGATTTTCTTACTAGTTGTGATGTGAGGACACCTTTTCAATCGTGTAGTAGTTTATGAAAAAAATAATTGTTATGTTACACATCTATTATATATATTGAGATATTTTAAATATGTCCATCTCTCCTATTTTTCTTCAGGTAGTTCACTCAAATTGTTCCGGCAGCCACATTGTGGCATCAATCTGATTCAATATTGAACAAGATTAGCAGTTCGCAGTGACCTTGGCTACTACAGCATATATAGAGACAATGAAGTATTGGTGAAATGGTCTTTTATGCTTTATGTACTGATCCCATCATACTAAGATATAAATTGTGAGACATACTCAGCCCTAACCACTCCAGCCTCAAAAGGCATAAAGGGATACAAAGTAACTAGCCAAAACACATACACTCTGCCATTCCCAGAATTTCTCATAGAAACACTTTACAATTATTGGTGAAAAGTCTTGGACAATGTGATGAATGGATGGGTTAACTGTCAAATAAATAATCCCACATGCCACGAAGTATTACACCCACACTCAATGTAGATAAATAGATACCCAGGAAAGGAACTTTCCAAACACACACCAGATAGTAAAGGTACCCAATTCCAATATCACACATCAAAGAGATGCATCACAATGAAGGAACAATGACAATTTTTAAAACAATGAAAAGTATTCATCCACAGCTCAATTTTTCTATTGCTAAAAAATAAGTGTGTGTGTTTTTTTGTTTTTTTTAAGTGGGGGGGCATTGATTGTATGATTCTGGGTCATTTTATACTCTAGTTTTAGTGGATATGGTTTCATTAACATGATCTATAAAGTTATTTATTATCCCATCAACATGATATAAAAGGTAATTGTGATACTGTTACTCTAGAGTTCAATCTTCTTTTTGAAGAGTATTATCTTGATCAAATCTTTTTTGGAGAATATGATTTTAATAAAATCTTTTTGGAGTGTTTCATGAATATGACTGAATCATCTTTTTGGAATGTACAAAGCTTGATTGACAGGCTACAACATTATTTTGGAGGTTAAACTTGCTAATTGAGCAGGCATGCAATCTTCATTTTTGAAGCTGGTTTGTTATCCTAAGCTTAAATCTTCTATTTTTACATGGTCGAACTAACTGTTTTTTAGGCTTAAATCATGTTTTCAAGTCAGAAATTAAGCTTTGAAGGTTCAGTCTTGTTTTAAGAGATTTTTTACTCTTGTTTTGAGGCTACAACATTTGTTTTGGAGGTTCAATCTTCAACAAAGGAGGTGAATTAATACAATTTTGTATGATTAAAAGGCACATATTCCAGTGAAGCTCTGAAACAAGTGGAACATTATAGATCTTATGTTATCTTAGTTTGGTCTGTTTGATGAAGCAAAATGTAACCATCTGGTCAATAGTGGTCAGAGTGGGTGGTCAGAGTGGGTGATCAGGTGGTGCAGTGATAATGCACTCCCCTTTCATCTAGGCATTTGGGGTTTGATTTCCGGAACGGACATGAACAGGTAAGGGGTCACCTGCCTAACCTGCTCCAGTTTCCTTCCACAATAAAAACCCCTCCTACACTTAAATCCCGGCCATCAAGAGTGATTAATGTCAGTTGTAATAACTTATTTCACAATTGTTGTAAAATAAAGTTTATATATATCATGTGGTCAGAGTGCTCCCACAAATCTCCTAGTAATGATCTGAAATAACATGTGTTTTATCCCTTTAATGAGATCTGATTGGTGTACCTTATAACTATCAACTATTTTCTATTGAAAAATTGATGATCAATCTATTATTAGCTTTAGGTGATTAAGAAACACAAGACTTTTTTAATGTTTGAAAAAATTCAGCTGTGTCAGAATGTGTGTGATTCACTATCTTACCGCCATCGGATTCAGACCCGTAGTCAAAGCTCTTGTTATCTTCTAAAAAAAAGGTGTTATGTTGACATGTTGGTAACATGCTAAAAACACACCTGTTAAATTTGCAAAGCTAAAAAACTAAACTACACAGCAATACTAGTTAAAAACAACTATAAAAACAACTTAAGAACAAAATCAATATCTGCTTCTGGTAATATCTGAGTAAAACACATGTTGATCCTGTCAATGTTGAATATAAAAATCATTACCTATTTCTCTTACTTAGTTACTGCTCTTCTGTTTACAGGACCATACACTGTATACTTGGTTTAGATTTTTGAGGTTTTACAAAAAGTTTGATGCAACGAGGAGCAGGTGTTTTTAACAGAAATTATGAAATGGACTTTCGTTTTCTCTATTGATTTTATTTTCATCAAATCAATGTATTGTTTGTGATTTTGTTTTCCATTCTTGTAAATAGCCAAAAATAAAACCATTCAGAAATAACAGCCTTCATATAGAGTTTCATTTAAAACATTTTCTGGAATTTGTCATTTCATCAAACTACTTTAATTTCTAACCTAGTGTAACCTACTGAATTGGAAAATGTTATTTACCAAATAATCCTAACATCTTCCTGTTTTACATGTTAACACATAAGTCTTACATTGACCTGGATGTTAAGACATCAGAACTATACTGGGCTATATACTTACCAATAAATGAGTCGTCAAACTTAACACCACTGATTGTGCTGCGACTTTCATACATGGAGTTTTTACGATAGTTTGGATCCAGCAGATTCCCAGACTTTTGTGAAGCTGCATTGTTCGTGACAGTCAGCGTATTAAGTGCCCCTTCACTTCGGTGGCGCCGCCTACCCCCACCTGTATCAGGGGGAGATAACCCTCCACCTTCTGCATCTTGTGTGGATGCGGGAGGCACATTAATTTTGGTAACGTGACCATTAGCACTACCGTTGATCCAGTCTGTGTGATGTTTTGGTTTATGTTCAGGGTTAGTTTTGTTTCCGTTGCTGTAAGGAGGAGGTCCCTGTCCTTCGGACTCTATTGTAAATGCCAGGTTCTCACGACACTCAGTAGTTACCACATTAACATGCTGAAGCTCCACCCCCTGGCTATCATCAGTGTTACGTGGCGGTAAATCCATACCCTTTGTCAGTCTGCAAATAAAATTAGAACATCACAATCAGTGACAATATCCATAGTGATTTTTTTCATTTCTGTAGCTGCTCTGCTCTTGTTGGTATGTTTAGATTCTTGATTTCCAGCTCAGCTTTGAAATATGATAGCCATAACTTGTAAAGTGATAGTTCTCTTCAATTGAAAGAAAAATTAATATCTTTCTGATATATTAAAACGATAATAATAAAGGGATGTTAAAGGAATCTTGCCATACACCAATGTTTGACCTTTATGTATTAATTCTTTGGAAGTTTGATCTTTTCCATTCTTTCCCTTGTGTTTGCTCTTAGTTCTATGAAATTTTAAAATTCCTCTTAAGAAATAATAATCTTTCACTGCCAAATACAAGATGGTGCCTGTCAAAATTTTGTTATTCTGATCAGCTCCAAAATCAGAGAAAAAACTAGGGACCAAACGAAACCTACATACAAAATTTGAGAAAAATCTATCCTGTACTTCTCAGGGAATAGCAATAAAAATTGGTTAATTGTAAAATCCAAGATGGCTACCTGTGAGCCATTTTGATTTTCTGACAACTCCTGAAATCAAAAGGGCACAACTTCTGACCAAGGGTAACCTACATTTGAAATTTGTTTTTCAGGACAGTCTCAATATGGGATAATGCATAGCTAGATACTAGGGGGAATCTATGAAAATGAATTTGAAAATGATCCATTGAGCACTTCTCAAGAAATAATGACAATAAAAGCAGTTTAAGGAACATATATAGATTGATGGATGAATGGATGATGGATGCCAGACCAAGGATGAAGGTCCATTTGAGGCTAAAAATACTTTTTTCTTCCTAAATGTACCAGATGTTTTAATACATTTGCATGTGGATCTCAAAATAGACATACATGTAACCACATACCTAGCCAAATTCTGTAGAGTATCTCAAACATTGGAAATACATTCAAAACCTGATAATCTCATTAGCAGCCCCATCAGTTCAACAAGTGCTTCTAATCTCATGTAGCATTTAGACTAAATGCCTTTTTGGTGTTTTATATAAATATTATGTCAGACTTTAAACCTTTCACTAGACATGTGGATTCAAACTGTTTATAAACCTAATCACCGCGAATTCACACCAGTTTAAAGTCTTTAAAATCCCTATGGGCCCCGGATGTCTGTAGTTTTATACACCAATTAATGAATCCTAAACACAGCAGCACCTGTCCACAATCACAGACAGGTAGTAAATAATACATCAGGTCCATTTCTCTATAATCTCCCAGTACAGTGTTATCCTGACTTACCACATCTGCCTCGGGTAAGCTACCCAACATTCTACCTAAAGGAATTCTTGAATTTCAGGCAATCACAACAATGTTCTTTAATTCCTTAAGAATAGTTAAGATCTAAAGACAGAAAGATTTTTATTGTAACAACATGAGCTTCCGTAACCTTTTAGAGCAGGTTGTACATCAACTGTATTAAGGAAAATCTCAAGATTATCTATTTTGGGGAAAATACTTAACACCCAATATAAATAAATACTGAGCTAAATTACATTATCCTGCCCAAAAAATCCATACTAATCATCATTGTAGATCTCCTTTCTAGAGAATGAATAGCATTCAATATTATTGCCTTAAATCTGTACAAAACAATAGTTTTGTAAGTTATCTACCTTACTGTCTCAATAAACAATAGTATTGCTCTGATAATCTCCCATACTCTCTAACAAAACCAAAGTTTGGCAAGTTATCTCCCTTACTTTCTTAAACAGAAGAGTATTGCAGATAACACTTCTGGTCTTAATTTTCTCATGAAAGTATTGCATGATCATCTCTGTTACTGCTTTAAATTGTGGCCCTGATCATCTCTGTTACTGCTTTAAATTGTGGCCCTGATCATCTCTGTTACTGCTTTAAAGTGTGGTCCTTATCATCTCTGTTACTGCTTTAAAGTGTGGTCCTTATCATCTCTGTTACAGCTTTAAAGTGTGGTCCTTATCATCTCTGTTACAGCTTTAAAGTGTGGTCCTTATCATCTCTGTTACTGCTTTAAAGTGTGGCACTGATCATCTCTGTTACAGCTTTAAAGTGTGGCACTGATCATCTCTGTTACTGCTTTAAAGTGTGGCACTGATCATCTCTGTTACTGCTTTAAAGTGTGGTCCTTATCATCTCTGTTACTGCTTTAAAGTGTGGTCCTTATCATCTCTGTTACAGCTTTAAAGTGTGGTAGCTTTAAAGTGTGATCATCTCTGTTACTGCTTTAAAGTGTGGTCCTTATCATCTCTGTTACTGCTTTAAAGTGTGGCACTGATCATCTCTGTTACTGCTTTAAAGTGTGGCACTGATCATCTCTGTTACTGCTTTAAAGTGTGGCACTGATCATCTCTGTTACTGCTTTAAAGTGTGTGTGACTGATCATCTCTGTTACTGCTTTAAAGTGTGGCACTGATCATCTCTGTTACTGCTTTAAAGTGTGGTCCTTATCATCTCTGTTACTGCTTTAAAGTGTGGCACTGATCATCTCTGTTACTGCTTTAAAGTGTGGTCCTTATCATCTCTGTTACTGCTTTAAAGTGTGGTCCTTATCATCTCTGTTACTGCTTTAAAGTGTGGCACTGATCATCTCTGTTACAGCTTTAAAGTGTGGCACTGATCATCTCTGTTACAGCTTTAAAGTGTGGTCCTTATCATCTCTGTTACTGCTTTAAAGTGTGGCACTGATCATCTCTGTTACTGCTTTAAAGTGTGGCACTGATCATCTCTGTTACAGCTTTAAAGTGTGGTCCTTATCATCTCTGTTACTGCTTTAAAGTGTGGCACTGATCATCTCTGTTACTGCTTTAAAGTGTGGCACTGATCATCTCTGTTACAGCTTTAAAGTGTGGTCCTTATCATCTCTGTTACTGCTTTAAAGTGTGGCACTGATCATCTCTGTTACTGCTTTAAAGTGTGGCAATGATCATCTCTGTTACTGCTTAAAAAGTATTGCATGATCATCTCTGTTACTGCTTAAAAAGTATTGCATGATCATCTCTGTTACTGCTTTAAAGTGTGGCACTGATCATCTCTGTTACAGCTTTAAAGTGTGGTCCTTATCATCTCTGTTACTGCTTTAAAGTGTGGTCCTTATCATCTCTGTTACTGCTTTAAAGTGTGGCACTGATCATCTCTGTTACTGCTTTAAAGTGTGGCACTGATCATCTCTGTTACTGCTTTAAAGTGTGGCACTGATCATCTCTGTTACAGCTTTAAAGTGTGGTCCTTATCATCTCTGTTACAGCTTTAAAGTGTGGTCCTTATCATCTCTGTTACTGCTTTAAAGTGTGGCACTGATCATCTCTGTTACAGCTTTAAAGTGTGGTCCTTATCATCTCTGTTACTGCTTTAAAGTGTGGTCCTTATCATCTCTGTTACTGCTTTAAAGTGTGGCACTGATCATCTCTGTTACTGCTTTAAAGTGTGGCACTGATCATCTCTGTTACTGCTTTAAAGTGTGGCACTGATCATCTCTGTTACTGCTTTAAAGTGTGGCACTGATCATCTCTGTTACTGCTTTAAAGTGTGGCACTGATCATCTCTGTTACTGCTTTAAAGTGTGGCACTGATCATCTCTGTTACTGCTTTAAAGTGTGGTCCTTATCATCTCTGTTACAGCTTTAAAGTGTGGTCCTTATCATCTCTGTTACTGCTTTAAAGTGTGGTCCTTATCATCTCTGTTACAGCTTTAAAGTGTGGTCCTTATCATCTCTGTTACTGCTTTAAAGTGTGGCACTGATCATCTCTGTTACTGCTTTAAAGTGTGGTCCTTATCATCTCTGTTACTGCTTTAAAGTGTGGCACTGATCATCTCTGTTACTGCTTTAAAGTGTGGTCCTTATCATCTCTGTTACTGCTTTAAAGTGTGGCACTGATCATCTCTGTTACTGCTTTAAAGTGTGGCACTGATCATCTCTGTTACTGCTTTAAAGTGTGGCACTGATCATCTCTGTTACAGCTTTAAAGTGTGGTCCTTATCATCTCTGTTACAGCTTTAAAGTGTGGTCCTTATCATCTCTGTTACAGCTTTAAAGTGTGGTCCTTATCATCTCTGTTACTGCTTTAAAGTGTGGTCCTTATCATCTCTGTTACAGCTTTAAAGTGTGGTCCTTATCATCTCTGTTACAGCTTTAAAGTGTGGTCCTTATCATCTCTGTTACAGCTTTAAAGTGTGGTCCTTATCATCTCTGTTACTGCTTTAAAGTGTGGTCCTTATCATCTCTGTTACTGCTTTAAAGTGTGGCACTGATCATCTCTGTTACTGCTTAAAAAGTATTGCATGATCATCTCTGTTACAGCTTTAAAGTGTGGTCCTTATCATCTCTGTTACAGCTTTAAAGTGTGGTCCTTATCATCTCTGTTACTGCTTTAAAGTGTGGTCCTTATCATCTCTGTTACTGCTTTAAAGTGTGGCACTGATCATCTCTGTTACTGCTTAAAAAGTATTGCATGATCATCTCTGTTACAGCTTTAAAGTGTGGTCCTTATCATCTCTGTTACAGCTTTAAAGTGTGGTCCTTATCATCTCTGTTACAGCTTTAAAGTGTGGTCCTTATCATCTCTGTTACAGCTTTAAAGTGTGGTCCTTATCATCTCTGTTACAGCTTTAAAGTGTGGTCCTTATCATCTCTGTTACAGCTTTAAAGTGTGGTCCTTATCATCTCTGTTACTGCTTTAAAGTGTGGTCCTTATCATCTCTGTTACTGCTTTAAAGTGTGGCACTGATCATCTCTGTTACTGCTTTAAAGTGTGGCACTGATCATCTCTGTTACAGCTTTAAAGTGTGGCACTGATCATCTCTGTTACTGCTTTAAAGTGTGGCACTGATCATCTCTGTTACTGCTTTAAAGTGTGGCACTGATCATCTCTGTTACTGCTTTAAAGTGTGGCACTGATCATCTCTGTTACAGCTTTAAAGTGTGGCAATGATCATCTCTGTTACTGCTTTAAAGTGTGGTCCTTATCATCTCTGTTAC